GCCAACTTGAACGTATTGGGCATAGTCTTGTTCACAACACAAGCATAAACATTTTGTGTTATGGCTCTCATCTTCCTTCTTATCTCTTGTTTCAATGTTTCAAGGGTTGTTAGTGTAGAAAAAATAGACCCAAAGATAAAAAGCTGGTGGGATTTATGTCCAGTCAGTCATTTCGGCATTTGGACCATGTTTTGTAGATGACCATAAAATCGTGACTCTAAGGGACAGACCAATGACATTGATTAAGGTTTAGTTGTGCCAAATATGATTTTGAACCCATGCTGAATGACTGAGTTATTTACATACATTTGTTTGGGTTACCTTTTTTTGGCTCACTCTGTATGTAATAATCTTAGTTTTCCTTGAATAAAGTTTGAGATACATATGCAACCCAAATATATTCTAGAATTGAAACAATATAAGTAAAGATTGTTTGTTGCTTGATCTGATTCTACCTTTACCTATGTGAGGAATAATCAAAATAAAGAAAAATAAAGAAGTGGAACTTTAACCTTAAAAACTTGTAAAATGATTGTTTTTACACTTACATCATTATAACAGAGATATAGTGACAATGACAACTGACAAGATAGTAAAATCAGCTTGTAAAATCAGATGATAATCAAAACCAAAGTGCTGCCAAGACTTACACTCCCCTTCAAAAGTTTGGCTTTAATTTGAACAACTGCTTGGGCTGGAAATCTAAACTGATATAATTTCCTAGTATAACTTCATTTTTTCTCATTTTATATACAAAAGATTGCAAATTGATGGCAAATTAAATTCATTTTTAAAAATTGTCATCCAGATGTAAACCAAAAATGTTTTAACAAACTTTATTTTCAAAAAAAAATTGATATAATTTTTCAGGTTTTATAAAGTTATATGTCTCCAAAGTCAAAACTATGCTTTTTCAAGAAACATATCCCTTAAGATAACATATGAGGTATGAGAATATCCACAAATTGAACTGAAGACTTAGCTAGTAAACAATGGCACCCTTATTTAAAGTGTTCGCATTGCTTATTTAAAGTGTTCATTGCATGTTATGTTAAAAATCAACCATAGAGTAATCTAATAGGGAAGTTTGCAAAACTTGGAGTGGAGTGTAGATGGATATTGGATAACCTGAGAATAAAGGGCGGATCAGTTAAATATAGAAAAATTCAGCATATACTCATCCAGAATAGTAATAAGTTACATCATTTGATATTTCACTTTTCATTCAAAAGACTGGAGAGACCAATGGATCCATCTAGTTCATACTCCTTGTTTATCCCCGGTAAAAACGTCATATACACACTAGACGAAAACGCATCCAATGGACAACCCTATTGTGAAAAACGAACCTGACGGCAAACGAAAAGTCTGTCCGATAATGTACGAAATTGATATTTTTCGTCGTGTACCTTGAATATTATGATGAATTTCATTCATGTTATCGCGATTGTGATTGTTTCCAATGTATTACAGTATGTTTTGGCCGATTCAACCTAAAGAAGGTACTTCTAATTCTCCGTCAAAGACCAATACAAAATGCCGGAAAATCGAAAAATAATTTTGTTATTGGCTGGATGAAGAAAACTAGGAGACGAATACTATTATTATTTAGCGAAAAAATAAGCTTATGATGTGGGCTTTCTGAATCAAAAAAGATTGAAATTATTTTTTCATGTTAAAGGGGTCTAATTTATCGTTAAAGTAAGTGTTGTCAATGTAAACAAACATGTCGGCGAATTTGATTTCTCGTCTTTAAACAATGATATTTGTGTAATAGTTGAATACTATATTACGAATGTTAATGATTTAGAAACCCAATTTCAATAGCTCCATGCTCGTATATAACATTCTATATATCTCCCAATAATAATGAAATAAGAAGTAATTTTCTCAAGGGTAGTACAATTTTTTTCGAGAATCCAATGGATCAATCTTGATACGCGCGAGGTTATCACGCCACATCTTGGTGGGCAGGGGTTCGTTTTTCGTACGATCGTAACTTACGATTCCGAGAAAACCATTTGTCTCTGTTTTGATGAACAATGACTTGCGACCAAATCGTAAGTTACGATGGTTTCAAAAACGGACCCCAGTATCGTGGGCGAAAGCTCATTGTCCAAATCGCTCTAGTTTGCGACGTTAAACACAGAAGAAAACTCACCCCTGAAAAATCTCCATCAGTGTTCACAGGTGTACCGTACTACGCCGATTAAATAGATATCTATAATCATCTTGCAGGTAAAACGAGTTTTTATTGGACACAATTGCCATGTTTATTTCTTTGAAAATTCTATTTGTTAACGTTTTGAGATGGAAATTGAATTGGTTTGAAATCTCAATCGAACTATTATCACCCACAAAAAGTTAACTCTTTTTCTTTTCTTTTTATTCACTGATCTTGTAAGCTCTGTTGTAGGCCTAACTATTGGCACCATTTTCACTTGAGACTTGTGCACAAATGAGGACAGAAATACCCAATCATGTTTGATGCATTTGATCACTGGTGGTTCCAGGTTCCAGACCTAGACTATATCCTCTAGTCTAGAAAACTAAGATTTTCGCCAGCTAAGTAACAGTCGCATTAATTCACATTGTCGTACTTACAAAATGATCCACCGCCTAACTTATGCACCATCGAACTCGGTAATATTGTACACGTAACTATTAATTACCGTATATTCCGATAGTAAACTGGGCTTGCTTTTCAACATTTAAAGCGAAAATTCTCTACGGAGCTTTTGTTTTTCTGACGTAATTTCTTCTAAGAAATCAGTGACGTGATAGGTTCAGTTCATCTTATTTCGAAAGGGGTGTCATCTTTTTAGAATATTTATTTTCATCTTGTCCAGTCCTATTTACAACCTGCCCTTATCCTTTTCGCTTGTAAAACCGCGTAGTAATGTTGAAACTATGGAATAGATTCTCTGAGAGTTGCGACATGTCTGCATCTCTACCATCTTGCGTTTGACACCTCTTGTTTTGGGCGAGTTCAAGTAAACCGCACATCCGGGTGATTAGAAAATAGAGATTTTTCAAGAAAATTCGAGCGGTGAGACAGATTACTCTGGTCAAACTGAGTTTTTGACGAAACTTATGAAAGAATCAATAAAAGGTAAGTGATATACATTAGGCGGATGCCAAAAATTAAACATGGCGCCAATTTGAAACTTCAGAATGCCTTCTGTGATTCAAAATCACAAAAAAAGTCGAGTGACATTTTAGCTGGCGAAAATCTTAGTCTGAAATTTTTTTGAAATTTGGAATGAAAATATTCAGACTATTAGCCCACATATGTTAAAATTTGGGATTGAAAATTATTTGTTTACATAGGAAGTGCCATTCGAAATGGCCGATTGGGTAAATTACATTTGTAATTTGCATATTTGTTACTTCCCCTAGCTTCATTTCCATTTGACAATATGCTGTGTTACTTTTCATGGCATTTACTTAATTGAATTGTTATAATGCTTATTTTTTGGAAGTGAAGTTTCCTAAAATTGATAATTGTATGCAGGAAATTTCCTGAATGAATTCAGAGCGATTATTATATTCGGTCTGTTGGATACATACTAGGGGAGAGCGGTTTTACCAAGGTAGACATTTTGCCAAGGGGGCAGCTTTTGACAGTTTTCGGCTAAAAATCATGCCAAAAGTGCTCACTATGGTGAAAAACTGCATGATTTTGAAAGAATTTCTGGCCGCTCCCTCTGCTCCCCCGACCCCCCGGGCTACGGGCCTGGGTCCCCACTATCCCCACCTGGTTATAAAGATGTCTTAAAGGTGCCTTGGAAGTTAACAGGAAGTGAGGAAACAGGAAATGCCCAAAATTTTGCATTTTTAGACATTTTTTGAACAAAGATGAGTTCTGGTTTGACCTCCAGTCAATTTAACTATTTCCACATATCATTTACATGACCAGGATCACAATGTACATGGTCAGAATGATCCTAAACATGATGAAATAACCTTTTTACCCCTTTGAAAGTGTGACTGAAAAAAAGCTAAAAGTAGGAAGTAGGAAAGGTTACTGAACAGAATCTTTCAAATTTTTCAGAAAATGTGCCCAATATAATGCTCTAACTGATACAATCTTTGAAATTTTAGAAAATTGTCTTAAACAAAAATGGCGGTCATAAAAAGGAAAATAGATCGCTTTTCAAATCAGTTTTTTCATTTTTTTTCTTTTTCTATGAATGATATCAAATTTTCAAAGATTGTATCATTTAGAGCAATATATTGGGCACATTTTCTGAAAAAATCAAAAGATTCTGTTCAGTGACCTTTCCTACCTCCTACTTTAAGCGTTTTTTCAGTCACATTTTCATAGGGCTGAAAAGGTTATTTCATCATGTTTAGGGTCATTCTGCGCATTCAATGAAAGGCCATGGTTTGTTGGAGAATATCGTTCATTCTCCCCGCAGCCATAGAAATATACAGGCACGATTAGCAATATCGCATCACTTGGAACCCTGGCTGCCAATCCTCCTTGTTAAAAGTTTCTAAGCTTGTATTCAAGAATACAAGTAACGCCTGTCAGCTACCGGATTAATTTACTATTTTACTGGAAACTCATTTAAATATGAATAGAACCTGCCACTATTCCATTCATATTAAAATGAGTTAGCCATAAAATAGTAAGTAAACCTGGTAGCCGAATGGCGTTAGTTGCATTTACGAATACAAGGTTAGTATAAGTAAAACACAGATTGATTGGCATGTCGTCTTTATTTCAAAATTATTTCTATTGCCTATGCTGTAGCTGTATATCAAATCATATTCGAAAATCGCGCGGGCTAATCACCGTAGATTACTACGCGAAATATGCAGAGAACAATGGAAATGACGTCTTGGATCTCCTGCTGTATTATGTGAAAGTTGACAAGGCAATCGATGACATGGCCTGGTTTTTTCAGACTTTGTTTCATAAATGCACATGTATTACTAAAATAACACAAAATCATTTTTAAATTTGTATTTATAAACAGTATTATATATTTCAGGATTGATATGGCTACATCAGCTCAACCATTTAGTGGGAAATGTTGTTTATTGGAGTCCCACTTCTGCAAGCTCCCGAGCCAGAGTAATGTATACGGACTAGCAAAAGTGTTCATGCCGAGCGGAATGAACAAGATTTTGGTGGCGTCACTATGCGGTAAAGTCATATCTATGGAGTATCAGAAAACAAGGCCTTCATCCCAAGAAATTCATTTTACGTATATCCCTGGTGATGCCCAGGTTGTGTCGATAGATGCATTCAATAAGAGCTTCCAGTCCAATGGTGTTGTTGTTGGTATTACATTTATAAAGGAAGGCCCAGATGGAAAGCCAGTGCCATTCATTAATATTTATTCAGATTGGGAGCAGGGATCAGAGTACAACCTTGCAAGTATAGCCCAAGGTTGTTTCAGCTTAGAATTGCCTTGCATCCCATATTACCTATCTCATGCTCAGTTATTTATGCAAGGTAGCATAGAGACTGTATTCTTACTGAGCGGTAGCGATAACCAAGTCCACTTATTCCGGGAAGATAAGTTTCAACACATGTTCTTCAAAGAAGACACTCTGCATTTATTTCCTGAATTTGAGTCGACCCCAAGTCCTATTCTCTGGTTTAATATGAGGTATTTCGATGAGCACAAGCGACGTTTAGCAGCGTATGGGTGTCAAAATGGCTTCCTAAAGGTGACACTAGTTAACACTGAAACCATGAAGGTTCTAAATGAATGGACTGCTCAACATGACACTCCTGTTACATCAGTAAAATTATTCACTCTGCAAACTGAAGCCGAGTATCCATCATTTCTGGCATCAAGTGCCGATTCTGTATGCTCTGTTGATGACAGCGAATCAGAAAGTAACATTGTGCCAGAGTATCACCTAGTCGTTACAAGTGCGTTGGAAGTGTCTGTTGTGTATCGCCACATCTTAGAGAGAGGATTATATGATCAACTGGTGCTCCCAGAGAGTGACAAATATGATTGTGTTCTCTCAACATGTGTTGCTGATGTAGATTTTGATGGCAATAATGAAATACTTCTAGCTACATATGGTCACAAACTATTGGCATATAAATTCATCAGTAGAAAACTTAAACTGGGCCAGAGTTCAGGTCACCATAGCAACCAGCCAAGCGATCCCTCAGTACTTCATGCGCACACTCAAAAACACAAACCTTCCCTAACAGACGGAGACTATAAAATGATTTGGCAGAGAAGTTTCGCAGACCCCTTATTAGCAGTAGAACAAGTTGATCTATTGGGAGATGGCATGCTAGAACTTGCTGTGTTGTCACTAAGGGGTCTTCATATTCTTCAGCATGACCTTGACGAGGCAGGTGAACTTTGTGAGAGGCGACTAAGAGAATTAACACGCACCTTGCCTGAGCTAGATGCCTTTCAGCAATTACAATCTGAGAATTTGATGGAAAGCACACAAACTCAATCCAGTGACTCTGCATAGACAATTGTACAATACTTCACAAGTTCACATACTCATGGTCCCATATACTCACTGCTCCCCATCAAGTCACTTTGACATTCCTTCAAATAACAACATGAATGTCCTGTTTTTGGATTTTTTCATCTCAATTTACACCTATAAATAGGTCAAGTAACAAGCTATGATTTGGCTTGAAGCTGTAGCAAAGATTCTAATTTAAAAATATACTAGTGGTTAGGAATTAGTTCAATAAATCCACAATTTAACATATAAAGTCACCATTTTGTTACATTGACAAAATTATTGTCAAAGTAAAATAACTAGAAAATACCAAATTCATTGTTCTTATCAGGGGCGGATCTGGGAACCAACAGGAGGGGGGGGGGCAAGTTTCAGGTCAGAGAAAAAAACTTCTTTGGGCCCATAAAACTCAAAAGTGAGCCCAAAATTTGAAATTTTGAGGCCCATTTTCTTCAAAATTGGTCTGAAATTAAAAAATAAAGCATTAAAAGGCCCAGTAATGACAATTAAGGCCCACTCTTTGGGGCCTTAAAAATTTTTGGCCCAATTTTTTTTCTGACCTCCCCCTCCCCCCAGATCCTCCAGTGTTCTTATGCCAGTGTAGCAAAAGTGAGGGACTATGATATTGAAATTGTTACTTAGTTCAAACCAAATCCCTAGCTGTCAGTATTTCATTAAATTGGATTTTTCTTTGAGCCAAGTTATAGTCTGTAGACTGACATTTTATTCAGTTTAAATCAAGAATACAAAAAATTAAAAACTGGAAGGTCATCCATGTTGTTAGTAACTAGATAGGGACCAGTGATACTGTAACTTGGGTAAATATAGCACAAGCCTTAGTTTAGAATATGGCAATATGTAAAATTTAACAATTTACATATGATGCACTCTAGGCCTTTTATACAAATTCATTCTTACAAAGTTTCTTACAGCGTACACACATCGAGTGTGTCTTCTAGTGCAATGAAGCAGGAATAATGAATTATGTGTATAATCATGAACATCTTTCTAAAAAAGAAGAACAAAACCAAGTGAAGTACTCATTGGCATGAAGGTACACAGGGAGATATGCTGATTACTCAATTAGTACAAATTAGCACTCTGGCAAAAATGCACTCATGATATGAATTCTCATTTAGTGCTGAAAATTTTATTCGTACTATTTTATCACTCATGATATGAGTACCAATTTAGCGCTAAAAAATCAATGAAATAATTGCAATTTTATCACTCATCATATGAGTACTCATTTAGTACTAAAACATGCAATAAATCAGTACTCATTAAGTATTAATATTTACTGAAATTAGTACTTAGTTAGCGTTAAAATGCCATGAGTACTATTTTAGTACCCAGCATATCTCCCTGTGTAGGAATACAAGAAAGCTTTGGTCATGAGAAGCCATATTTAGAGTGTCCAAGACACTGATATAGTTTGAGGCAAGGAAATAAATGAAAAAGTAAACAATCAAAGAACCACAAGGTAGAATTATTTGGAAATACACATTTACATTTAAAATACATACTTTGTATATTTTAGACAATTCAGTTTTTGCAGTGAAACTATTATATGGTATCTTGTAATAGGGAGTTTCAGCCATGATAATTTTTACAAAAATACAGTAACATGTCAGAGAAGCATTCTTAATGCAAAAGGCTGAACTTTTAATCAAATCCCAATATGGCTGCTCAATTCAACTTTTAAAACATGTAGGCCTAATCTTTGATAACTCATCACTGGTTGTCGGATTTGGTCCAAATTTTTTAGGCTGATGCTATTAAGGACAAACAGTATCATTCAAAAAAGGAATTTTCAGATGAGTAATTGGCATATCTCCCTGTGTACTGTTTACTGCCATTTTGGATTTTCCGTCCTAAAATCTTGCCTGTCAAGGCTTGTCTACAGGTTTCCAGCCAAACCATTTGAGGGATTCATTTGAAATTTTCTCAGGGATGTTTCTACCTATGAAAGTTTAGAACTGATTAGTTTTTCGGCATCCTGGGTAAATGTTAAGGCGGCCATTTTGGATTTTCCATCCTAAAATCTTGTCTGTCAAGGCTTATCTACAGGTTTCCAGCCAAATCGTTTGAGGGATGTTTCTACCTATGAAAGTTGAGAACTGAATAGTTTTTCGGCATTCTGGGTAAATGTTAAGGCGGCCATTTTGGATTTTTCGTCCTAAAATCGTGTCTGTGAAGGCTTGTCTACAGGTTTCTAGCCAAACAGTTTGAGGGATTCATTTGAAATTTTCAGGGATGTTTCTACCTATGAAAGTTTATAACTCATTCGTTTTTCGGCATTCTGGGTAAATGTTAAGGTGGCCATTTTGGATTTTCCATCCCGAAAAGTGTATTCTGTTCAAGTGTGCGATTCTGTTCACCGTGTGGCTTATTTTTAAATTTGATTTCAGTTGTCCTATTTTGAGTTATTTTCGACACTTTGTCAGCACCAATCGATTGTAATGGGATTTTCTTTGATAGAATAATGTAATTGTTGGCTTGTAAATCTGGTCTGATTTTGACATGCTCAGCGCGCAGGTGAGATTTAATAAGTGACTTCCACAAGTATTTCTGGACTTGCAGAGTGCCACCTTTTTACACTCACTTTTGAAGCTTGAAATTTATGTTGTTTTGTAAGTGCTCATATAGCCGCCATCTTACTTAGTCTTTTGTAATCTTTCTGCCATGTAATTTCCTGTGATTTTGATTTGCAATTGATAAAACTGATGTAAAAACCACATCTAATTACTATTTATTTACAATTAAACTTAAAAAAAACTTAACTTGATTTGTAGTCGTTGATTGATGGTTAAAGATGATGAGAAAACAGTAAATGAAGTAAATGAACTTAAGTTATTATTAATATATTACCAGAGTGATGAATCTACACAGAAAAAGTAAAGTATCCTTACATTTGAAAAATCCTGCCATATTCTGATCACTTCATCATTCTGTTCAAATCATTTGTGACCAATTAGTGTTTTCAACTTTTGTGTCTATTCAAAGATGGCAGCACCTTACTTATAATCAAGCAATCAATCTCTTTCAGCTCAAATTCGATTCGCTCCGTTGCCATGGACGTTCAGCTTACCACGCTACCATTTGTTTGCTCGCTCCTGTTTGTTTGTTTGTACGGGTTGCTTTGTTGTAGTAATGGTTAATTGATGCATTTGATTGATTGGGCAGCCCGTACGTGGCAGTTTCGGGATTAAGACCGGAGCTGTTACAAATCCATCCGAGTCCTTGCAAAACACAAGTTAATGGGATTCGCTAACTTTATCTTACAAAAAATAGATGTTTCTTCAAGTTCGAATTCAACAAAGGTACACGTCTCCACCAAGGTCATTTCTTCGAGAAACCTATCCAATTGAAATAACAAAGGAGACGAAATATGATTTTCATAAAATATTTTTGGTGGATCTTTTACTAAATGAATATAGTGAAATCTGATTTGCCTTGACATGCTTGAAGCTACTATTTTGCATTGGTTTTCATTGGAATGACGATTTTCAAAGATTCATCGAAAGTCATTTTCGACTTATTGAAATTGAGGGAAAATGTGAAAATTTGGAGGTATAGAAAATAAAGTCATTTCCATCTTAAACATGTTATGTCAATAAAAATCCATTACATTATTTGATATCATAATTTAATTAATAACTGTAAAATGAATTATTGAACCAACCTTGTCAGTTTTGTTGAGTTGAGCAACAAAGCTTTGGTCACCACATGCAAGTGATAACATAAATTAAAAAAAAGTATGTTTTTTCATTTATTAGTTTGCATGGCGAAATATTTGGAATCCAGATTCAACTCATCATGATAAACCATGACATCTCATTTCTTCTCAGCCCTGAGATGTTTCAGGTGAAAAAGAAAGATGCTATGAGTATCAGAATGGATTCAACTTAGTTTAGTCGAAATCGTTGGTTTAACATAAACACATATTTATCCGATATACATGTATAATATGAGGTTATATAATGGTTGATTCCGTATATCGTGTTTATACTCAAGTGAGTATATGATATATTCACGAGTGACTGAAGGGAACGAGTGAATATATCATATACTCACGAGAGTATAACGATATACAGAATCAACCATTATATGATCTTATTATCCCACCCTAATCTTTATCAATAAAATATTACTCTAAATTCAGCAGTTGTATATCAAGTCGAAGAGTTGTATATGCTGCCTAGGAGTTGTATACGCTATCCAGGAGTTGTATATCGTTCTCAATAGTTGTATACGATGAGTGTTGGTTTTATATTGCAGTTATACAATGCTATTATACAATCATATAAAGCACTTAGGGTGGGATAACACATTATATACGAGTATATCATATTCAATTTTAATACATTTTCCCGGGTACATTTTATTCTATATATACATTATATCAAGCTCTTATCGATCCGATGTAGTTGTTGTCTTTGTCATAGATTGCAGACAAATGTAGCATTCAACAGATCATCTCTAGAGGCGTGGATACTATCGCACATGTACGTTAGGTTGTAGATACATTGAGTTTCTGCTTTTTACATTTAAAACACACAAATCCCCTCCTATCTTTGACACATGATTCACACTTCGTCCCACTTCTACTGATGTTCTCTTCCATTGCGCAACATCCAGTGCATTTGTGGAGATGCTTTCTAAACACTGATCTCACCAACTTTTTACGCCATTTCCGTCTGCATGAATCGCACTTCCATTTGAAGCTGGAGACATCTAAATATGGAAGGTGAATAGTGTAATTAACCGTAAAAGGATCTGAATGAATAGCATATTTCGTTGGGAAATAATGTACCATTTTAAAGACTGAAATATCTTTGCCCTTTGACTTATCTTATTTATACACTTCATGACAAAAGTTCATTTATGCTGAATGCTAAAATATGTTTTATGTTAAAATGGTTCTGCTTGGACCAGCAGATCGATTGCTATTAATTGTCAGTCTATTTAAGAATCTTCCAGGCCCTTAGTCAAGGGGTACATCATTTTGAGCATTTTCATGTGATTTTCATATCATATTATTATCTGGACCAAAGTCAAAATGACCACCCCTGGTGCCCCCCCCCCTTGGCAAAAACTGGCTACGGGCCTGTCTTGCAATTAAAACATGAGATAAATCCGGAAGATAATATAATAGCATTCTTCATCAAAATCATCATCGAGGGGAACCTGATTACATGAAATTAAACCAACCTGTTTTTCCACAGTCAAGCGTACTAGTAACTTTAATCGGGGCACTGGTTGTAGTAATACCTGTAGGTGTAGTGATGGTTGTGGCGGATTCAGTCGTAGTGCTCTGCGTAGCATTGCCAACGACACAGACTGGTTGGTTAATTTTACTTGGAAAATGTTCACATGACAGCTGGTCTGGCCAATTAAATCCAAATTTGTTCATCAATTCTTCACAGCCTTTCCTGGCTTGTTCGCATAACTCCTTGCATGGTGGAATGGCTGTTATCAGTCGTGTGCACGGTGGAGCATAAACCACACAAAGAAATAGCTGTATTGCAGGGCTGCATTCCGTCCTTACAAGAGGCAGAAACTGGTGCAGTTCTAACCCAGCCTCCTCTTGGGTTGTGAAGTTTAATATATTTGGCATTTGAGTTTCATTATATCCCATATCTTTACATAGCGGCAAAGTGATTTTCTCGCAATGGTCCTTGGCTGCAATCACAACATGAGCAGAAAGAAGATGAAATAATATGGTAAGAATCGGCCCTGTTTTTCGCAAAGATTTTGCCATCGTGGATTCTCTTATCGTTTAAACTTGGAGGGGCTACGTAGATACAGTACTTAGGTTTCTGTCTAACAAATTGTATCAGTAAGTATCACTTCCAGTTCCTCTAGTCTTTTAACGTTTTGACTTATTGTTCAATTATCCATCTTATATGCCAGAGCTTCTATTACGTGCAATATCTGACCTCTACACCAAATAAGCTTTTCAATTTCTGAATGGATACTTAATGTATTTTTGTATTGGATATGGAAATTGGATAACTAGCTGGGAAATGAGCATTTATTTCACATATAAGTGGCAGTTTAGTGCATTGTATATCGAAGTGAAATGTTGATTAATTTTGACACATTTTGGACAACAATAACGAATGAGGAAATTGGCAAGTAAACGTCCTATTGGTAATGGATGATGCGATATGAGGGAATACAATGGACTGTATCTAATGAACGTGTTGACTTTCAGTATTAAAGGTACCAAAATCCCACTTTCTTCTCTCAATAACGCAGAAGCGAGTAGGGGCTTTGTATAAAAAACCTCCTACCCACGTACCCTCGTACCCACGTACGTGGGTCCTGACCCAGTCTTTAAAGAGTTAAATTTTTAAATGTTTAAAACATTATTCAATCTCAGTTTATCCTGAATTAAAGATGAATTTATGCATCCATATGCCTTTATTTATAGGTCTGACATCTCTCTAGTAAAATAAAATAAAGCCGGAATTGCATAAATGTTCATTATTTTTGAGCTATTTGATTTATGTTTTTGATATGTCGAAATGTTTTTTGTTGATCGGGCAGTCTTACCTGTATAACACATCAGTGCTGATTAGCAATCTCCTAGCCTTCGTTCAGTGCAATCCGTGCCTCCTGTTACCCCATGCAGATTGTAAATGTCCCGGGAAGTTTACCCTTGTCCAAAAGTTGACATCTTTTTAAAAATATATTTCTTAGAGTTTCCAACCAATTAAATTCACCACATTTTATTAGATGTTTATTTCAAGTGTTATTAGAATTCATTCTTACGAATATTATACGTTACGGTTATTAACGTATGTTAGTCAAAGATTTGGTGTCGTTGTTGTCCATTGTATTCACGTTTTACGCGCAAAAAGCTAGAAACTACAAAGCTGAACTTTTATCATTCAAACCAGTTTTACATCAAATCATTGTCAAAATAAAACTCTACTCTTCATATTAACTTATTATGGATCAAACGGCCATGAATAATGTAGTCGAAGTTTACAAAACCAAACTTACACTCCCCTGCATAAGTTTGGCAACTCTAACTTTTAATTCCATCTAAATGATTCACTGAACTAGTGCGCACAATTATCCTTAAATTGTGCCAAAAAGCGATTAAAAACGAATATAGCGAATCCTTCTACTTTTCAAATATTTCGTTATGCAATTGCGCCACGGTTAAACAGAAATGCAGCCTTTATTATTCCTTGAGATCGTGTGAATTGATCACTCTATCACTTGTATCTCCAATTCTGATGTTAAATTAAATAAAAGACATAAGACAAATTACACGTATAGTTCAAATCTGTCGTGCAAACAATGAATACTTGTAATATCGTTTGAAAGAATAAAAAGTATATGTGATAAAAATCGAAACTACAGGGTGTTAAAAAACAGGACCGATGAAAAGTTGAATAACTTTGTCAATCCAGAATCATTCAGGTCATTCAATGTGAATTTTGTTGTGAAAGTTTGACCATATTCTGCTCATGGAGTCAAAAACTACAGCACTTTACAACACATGCCCCATGTGGCCAATTTGCGCCAGGCAATAGATTGGTTGTACACTGTAAGACTGCCCGATCAACAAAAAATCGCTTCGATATATCAAAAACAACACTCAAATAGCTCAAATGAACATTATGCAATGCCGGCTTTATTTTATGACGAGACAGATGTCCGATCTAGAAATAAAGGCATATGGGTACATAAATTCATCCATAATTAAGCATACATTGAGATAGAATAACGTTTAAAAATGTTAAAGATTTAACTCTTTAAAGACTGGGTCAGGACCCACGTACGTGGGTACGAGGGTACGTGGGTAGGAGGTTTTTTATACAAAGCCAAATGTGTGTCACGGAGTAATTTTTTAATGAAAAAGATAAGGAAAATACAGGGTTTCCATTTTTGACCACCCTGTATATGGTCGTTTACAAATGTGTATAAGGGCGTAGCGCTGTTCTTCTAAGTAGTACGCCAACACGGGAGCAAGAGTTGAACGAAGCAAAAAAGAGCTTTCAGGGGGGTCTGATGGGTTCTCTCACCCAGGAAAATTTTGAATTGCAACCCTCTGATACGCGTATGCGTAGAGAGAGAGATAAAAACGCATTATTATGTGTTAGCAGGGCTTGAGCTATGGGCCGGTCCACTAGTCATTTGCCAGGTCACTTTTGATAGGACCAGTTGATTCTTTCATTAGGTACTATACAGTGCGTCCCAAAAAAACGCAACAGAAAGACATTGTAAAATCACAAAACCAGTGATGATTACATCAATTTGATTTAGTTTACCAGGAAGCCACATGTCTCCTCTTTCAAATGGTATGTCAATTATTCGTAAGCTTATACGACCACAGACCACTGAATATTCATTTATTTTGCACAACGGGTCAAAATCTGTTGTGGACCAAGTTTTAGACATTGCAACAGTTAACAAAGAGCCACCAATGAGGTTGCTCGTCTCCACCAGAACCCACAGATGATTTAAAGATGTGCGAAATGGAGACACAAGCCAGTCTCTGTGTGTAGAGAAATAGTGGTCATGTAAAAGGTCATGGAATGTTATCTTTCATGAGTAGTCTTTCATAAGATGACAAACAACGACTGTTTATGCCACTTTTTCCATGTTTCATTAACTGAACCAACAAGGATACTGATGAAGACTTAAAGTTAAATTTTATTTTCCTTTTTTCCTTCGTAAATCTTAATCAGAAACGTGTTATGTAAATCTTGTGACAAGAATTTAATCCACCAATGATTTACCTGATTGCAAAATAAGGACCAGTTGATATTTCATAACTTGGCACAAAGGCTTTTTCACCCGTGTGCGAAAAAACAATGATTTTTCAGTAGTCCATGATCAGATATGAACAAATGACATATCATTGGAAAGAGGAGACACGCGGCTTCATGGTAAACTAAATGAAATTGATGTAATCATCACTTGTTTTGTGATTTTACAATGTTTTTGTTTGTTGCGTTTTTATTTGACGCACAGTATAGGAAAATAACATGTTAACTGGTCCGTAATGCAATTTCAGTATCACCTCATTACACCGACGCGCATTGTCAGATTTTACCGAAAACCAACTATACCGATGCGCGTTGTACCGAAAACCATTGCTGTATACCGACAATCCGACGGTAAAAGGCTTGTAATGGAAGATGTATGATAAGAGTAGAAGTATATGATAAGTATTGTTGAAAGTCTGTATTGATGTTGAACAAAAATAACTTTAAACGGGAATCCTATTGACACAGGTTTTAAAGCAAATGGTCCAAAAGTGAATTTCGCGTGACAAAAATGGCGGCCATTTTGAAAATAGCCGAGCTTTTGAACCAGGAATCATAGGGGGTTCTCTATATTGATGTTGAACAAAAATTAATTAAAACGGGAATCCTAGTGACAGAGGTCGGTTTTATAAAGGGGCCAATTGTTGACTGACGGACGGATAGACGGACAAGTGAGTGATTGCAATAGTTCACCATGTGAGCTAAAAAGTGACAAAGGCACCACCACCTAAGTCCTTTATATTAATTACCACTGTAATAGAGATTACATATGACCACTTGATTACCTCGGCCTTCTTCATGAATATTTCCGCTCTATTTACTATAAATGACGAGATTAATCGGGATAATGATAATAAATGACTAGATCTAATAAATTCCCGCACAAATGGAATTTATCAATACGCTTCCGTAATGTTGCTCCGTCCGCTCCACGTGTTATTTGTTTACAAATAGACTGACGTCACTGGCTAAATCTCGTTTATCGTGAGAATTGGCATTGCCAAAATGGCTTGACCTAATCAATGGCTTCGCTACAAGAAGCGTCTGTACATTCTATGAATATCTTCAGTAAGAGGACAATATACGAAAAAATAATATTGTAAGTTCTTTATAAGGTAATCATTTTATCATTAAACAAACTTATTTGTAACATTTATACAACACCACATTTTACAATAGGTGACTTACAGTCTGAATTTATTCAGACGAAGGATACAGTCTAGGGTATGTACATGTATTTACTGAACTAGATATTCACATGTAAATATTCTCTCATATATTTCAAAATTATATTCTATTAAATTCTTCAAAAAAAATTCTAGTATAAACAAGATATTTCATGATAATCAGGAATATGTCTAAGCTGACTGAGACAATGGATATTAACTGCAGCGTATCAACTTGGGAATATAAATTAGGGTATATTCAAACAAGACATAGTTTCCAAAATCATAAAATACCTGCATTGAAAAAATGATATTCATCAACAAAAATAAAGCTTTACATGATAAAACAAACACAAAATCTTCATTGCACACTTTGATTACTCGTGTTTAAATCCCACTTGGGTAGCAACACAATAGAATTTGCTGTGGTTTATTTTTAAGAATGTATGGTTTTATCAAAAGGAAAGTGCATTATTTTTCTATTGTTTTTAAAGAATGTACACTTGGCAAGCTATCAAAAACAAGTGAGACATAAATGACCATTGACAGTTTTTGATAGTTTTCATTCCCTAAAAACAATATACAAAAATACATGTACCCTTCTCTTGTTACTGTGCATTCTTTAGAATAAAACAATTTATCAATTTTTGTTGCTATCTACATCATTGATCTTATCTTACTTACAAATATTCTGCTGTATTCAAATGCAATGTTCTGGACTGGACGGTCACCTGTAGTGCACTGAAGCTAGACTAATTATAGCCCACTCAGTCACTTAAATCAACTCACACTCATGAGGTCAATGCAACCAACTCTTTTTGTTGTTACAATTAATTGGCTATATAACTACATGAACAGTCAACTCAAAAGAACTCACTCACTTACATGTATCAAACCACTTACCCCTACATGAACAGTCAACACAAAAGAAATAAAATTTTCCAGATTAGATCATTGACCATTTACCTGCAATATACCATTTACCTGTTATAAGAATGTGTGTGATTTAAGTAAGATAAAGCATTCGAATTCGATTTGATAAGAAATAATAACCTCAGGCCTTCGGCCTTCGGTGTATTATTTCTTATAAAATCTCATTCTTATGCTTTATCCAGTACAGAATAAACGGATACATGTATATCAATTGTCATCATTTTCACTGAGTTACAATTAGAATATATATATAACAAAAGTATGTAGCAATTAGTAACAGATCTAGAACACTGCCTGGTAATGCTGCCCACCAACCGCTGAATGCCAGTCACAAACAAAAACAGGAGCTAAATTAATTTGATGCTATTTCTTTATAGTGGTGAGATAATAACAGCATGCATGTTCAACATTTTCTAATCTATATTTATAGCTTCCTTAACACACAACTGAACAAAATGAGGAAGGTACCATAAGATGAAAAGGCACAATGAGAAGAACAGCTGCAAACTCTCATTACAGTTGTACAATATATAAAAATCTTAATTGAAAAATAAAAGTCTTTGTACAAATGAGGCTAGTTCATATTTCAATTAATAAGTTGATAGTACAATTAGGTTAAACAATAAACTCTGGTTATGTAGAATTTTGTAAAAATACATTATAAATGGGTTTATTTAACCATGGACTTTCTCTTGATTCAACCACGGATGTTCTCTTGATTCAACCATGGACTTTCTCTTGATTCAACCACATACACTTGCTTTCAAGCCATTACAGATTTGACAGATATAGATGTCTCCTAGGGATATCTGGTAGTTACATGATCTAATAAGACATTAACCTGCAAAATGTCACCACCTGTCATTTGTTACAGACACCGAATGCCAACTGCCATCACAAAAAGTGGGAGACCATAACAATATGTCACCACTTTTGGTAGTGACATACAAATCTAAATTTGTGGTAAATTTTAACAAGGTACATGACAGACCTCACTAGGTCTTGTCTTCAGTACTCCCTGAAATGTTCTCACTTCATCAACAGACACTTTTAGCACACATGTACATGTAGTACTTTTTGTTGCAAATATCATTTCCCCTTAGTCTAAAACAAAATCGTGTTCATATTCACTTCTGATTGATGTACATTTATTCCACTGCTATTCTTAATTCCATCATAGATTTCTTAACTTAACATTAATGTAGGATAAAATTTCTGTTCCCTGAGCCTGAATTATCAACTTGCAAATACAATTCTGTTTCCAACATGTACATGTATTCAACTACAGGCTCGAACAGATATCGTTTTTCTTCATATTTTGACTCCATTTTGTTCTACTTATTCAACTGAAGAAATCGGCCTGTGTACCTAGGCTTCATGTTCAATCTGTATATACATCATATACTGCAGATATTTAATTCTCCTTATGCTGAGTCTGAATCAGAGTCAGATATGAATTCATTACTGGTATAATGAGTTTTCCCTGATGAACCCCTGGATTTCTTCCGTGTGCCAGTAGCCTTAAGCCGTGGCAAGTAACTGTTGTGCAGGTAGTCACATATCTCTGGAATACATTACACTGTTAATGGAGTACTAAATACTCAACTAATGAAGATAATTGTTACTAATATAAATGTATACTGTATGTACTATTTAAAGGGAATTTCTAGGCGACAGAAATGACAAAATGTTGCTTCTGGGACGAGATCAAACGACTTTGACACAATCTTTACCTTACCTATTTTGTAATTTAACGATCAACACAAATATACATACCATATTTGAGCAGATATCGGACAAATTCATAAAAAATATTTTTTGATAGATAAAATCATTGATTACTAACTGAAGTGTGTTTTGTGACATCCACGAAGAAGACGAAGGAGAAGATGAATACAGATTTCAGTTATTTCAATTTTGCCTTGGATTCGATTTTAAATGGGGGGCCCCCCTTAAATGCTTCTAAATGATCTTCAAATGCTTACTATGAATTCTAAAAGTACTGTTTTGGCTTCCCCGCTTCATAAAAAGAACATTTTCACCATATACTCGACTCGTAAATTTACTTCCAGTCTACTGAGAAAAATAAAAGTTCTTAGAACTTTTTCAATCCTCAGTCTAAATTTGGCACTGTCAAACATCAACTTTGAATTGATCTTTACGAGGGTTGTCCCAGAAGTAATGCACTATATGCTCTAACTTTCTTTAATATTCTTCAATTCAGCTGAAATTTTGTGTATATAACAGTTGAAGTTTTATCTACTATTTCCTGAAGTTTCAGCATCCAACATTAATATTAAGTCTTAATATGGTTGCTATAACAACATGGGGGCAGGGATGGGCGGGGCAGGTACCAATTTTTCTGATTATGAAAAGATCTAAAGTGTTATTTTATTAATATTTCTTTCCTTTAAATGGTCAAAATGTTTGGGAAATTGTTAAATTTATTCAGCATGATGTTAACCAAGTACGAATAATGACATTTAGCACTGTGATGTCATAATACCACATTTCAATAGTCACGAATTCAAATGCAGTCACAGTCAAGAAATTGCAAAAATGCCTGCAATTCTCACCTGATAACAGAAGGCCTTGCGTTTGGTGGCCTAATTTCATACTTCACTTGGACTCACAGCCATGCAAAACAATTCTACCATGAAGAAAGTATATAAGGAGTATATAAGAGATAGAACTACAATTATGGGGTGGCAGAAGAGATTTAAAAGAGACGATTTGACCCTGCATGACAACTCCAAACATGGGAGGCAAAAACTCCACAAGTCACAGTGGAAGAAATTGCCGAGGGTGTTTGACCTGACAGGCATCAAAAGTACATACCATGCAAAGGGCAATATTTTGAGAAAATGTGAAATGGGACACTGTGCAATATACATCCATTAAATCTAGGATGTGCTCATAGTAATTTAGTATCTTAAAATGTATTTTTGAGCATACTTCTTATTGCTACACCAAATGGTATTTGTTGATTAATTATTTCATATTTTCACTTTTTTATTCCTTTTGACGTGACTGTAAAACGTGCCCCGCCCTACCCAAACTCACCAACTTGATTTTATTATAACATCAATATAGTTTTATCAGTCAACTTGAAATTTTTTAGAATAATCAAAATGTCTCTAAGGAACATTTACTGAAAATTTCATGGAAAAATATCAATTTTTGATAAAGTTAGAGCATATAGTGCATTACTTCTGGGACAACCCTCGTATACTGTACATATTTCAAAAATAGGTTCACCAAAGAAGGAATTAGACCAGGAAACCATGTCTATAGCCAGAAAGTGTTATCTTAAACCATTTTATCCACTATAAATCGTAATGTTCCTTTAATACTCACAAGTGTGGGTTGAAATAAATAATGAAAAGAAAATAGAAAGGAGTTTTACAATGCTCTTTTATGTGTTTTATAGTATACCCTATTACCTCTTGTCTGTTTCTAGATCCCCTTCTAAACCCTCTGCTTGTTTTTTTTACCCCCTGCCTGTTTCTAGACTTCCTTCTAGACCATTTGCTTTTTTCATGACCCCCTGCCTGTTTCTAGCCCTCCTTCTAGACCCTCTGCTTGTTGCTTGACCCCCTGCCTCTGTTTCAAGACCCCCTTCTAGACCCTCTACTTGTTTCTTGACCCCCTGTCTGTTTCTAGACCCCATTTGTTTCTAGACCATCTGCTTGTTTCTTGACCCCCTGCCTGTTTCTAGACCCCCTTGTCAACCCTCTGCTTGTTTCTTGACCCCCTGCCTGTTTCTAGACCCCTTTCCCCCTTCTAAACCACCTGCTTGTTGCTTGCCCCCCTGTCTCTTTCTAGACCTTCTGTCTGTTTCTAGACCCCAAAACAATGGGGGATGCAGTGAATGCCTTACCTTGAAAATCTTTGATTTTGTACTGAGGAACAGTACTTTTCAGTTTAAACCATTGTCTTTGGAGTATCATTGGAGAAGGGATAGACCTGCAAATGCCCAGGACATAGATATGTTACAGTAAAACCATCAAGTAGTGAATATCTCATAAGCGTGAACATGAACATCTCATAAGAGTGAACATCTCATAAGCGTGAACATCTCATAAGCGTGAACACCTAAAGATGTCATGGTCCAGTTTTGGATGTCCCATTGACTTGAATCTTATTAAAGGTGAACATAAACATAAACAGAAAATTCAAATGTATTCAATGATGGCCTAGCAAAAGGGAAAGGATAGACTGATGGATAACTAATGGTTCAGTAAAGGGTAAACTGACACATTTGGAAACTCAGTCATGATTTAACACTCGCTTTCAATCTCAATAATTTTCTAAACTGTTTTTTTTTTCAATTTTCAAATTAAAAACATGAAATTAAACAAAAAGATTGATGTGAATTTTGTGTGTTAATCGACTGACTCACAAGATAGACTCTAATTCCTAAACAGCCTAATTAAACTTACTCCTTGAAGTGTTCATGATGCATAGATTCCCAGTCAAGTTCACCCTCACAATATGCATGGCACTCATAAACCCTGAAATACAATAGACCTTTGTTGTAGCTATAGCAACTATTTCACAATTCATGTGGCACAATAATCTTTATGGCAATATTATGTGTTTTGAATTATTGTAACTGTGAATTTCCATATATATACTGCTGCGGACTCTATAAAAGACTGGCATTGGTTAGAACTGCCTATGGCCCTAGCCAGGATAAAGATACCTGTTTTTACCCTTAGATATCCAGTTACATTATCCTACCACACACAAATGCCATATGGTGTCTGTGTGACACAATTGTAACTCAAATAAAATTTTAAAGTCTTTCAATTTGATAAATTAGTGCACACATACCTGGTTATAATCTGAATCTTTTCTTCATTTGTTATTTGATATTTTCTGATCCCGTTCAAACTCCTTTAAAAAATATTTGGGTCCTCCTGCAAAGATCAAGAAACCATATTTTAGATGAAAAATCAAAAGAGCCAACAAGAACTAAAAAACAAAATTATAACTGTAAATGTGGTCTTTGTTTTGTATGAAAGATGAATAAGGATGAGTCATGATATATATGCCCTTCTAATCTGAAAAATATAATTTTATTACTGTCCTAGTCATACATCTTATTTGATAAGTATATGCAGTTTTTCATGAGTTTCGATGCATATATACATATTTGTATTTCCCGCCATTTTAATTTTTTTTAAATTGCTAAATTTTCAGTTTTCACATTGAGCACAGTTTTATGGTTTTTGAATAATTAGGCGAGTGGGAGATCCAGCAAAAAGGCCTTATTTGTTGACCTTAATTAAGATAGCTTGCAACCGCATGAATCATACCTGACTATCATAATATGAATATGTAGATTTCAAAAATGACAATAATAAAAATTGAAAAATGGCCGATCACTATGGAAACGGGACGCAAAGGCCACGCCCACTTTTTAAATTTCTTACTTGGTGGTAAATACATTTTAGACTGTAACTTTCTCGATTTTTAACATATCTTCACATTATTGGTATCTGCTGAAGCGTAATAATGAGTTCTTTTACCTCAAGCATAAATTATGTTAATTCGCTCATTTGCATATCCATTATGACGTCATAACCCTTCTTTTGGCCTCAATTTTCGATAAAGTTACAACAAAGTAACAGTGCTTTATTAGTTACACTTCTTAAAAATGGATAAAAGTAGGTAAATGTAGTGCCAATACAAGCAAGAGTATATCGGGTTTTGGATATACAATCAGCTTGAACAAGGACATTTCTCACAAGTTTCAACAATCCTCCTCACTGATTGTGCCTTAATGCAAGAGTTGGTGACCATGCTTCTATCTAGATTAAAAAATTGTACAGGATGAATTGCTGAGTTACTGGATATACGAGAGTACTCTTACTCTCGGGGAATTTTTCTCTTTTCTGCCCTCTTTTGGGGCTTTGGGCAAACATAAGACATGTGAAACATACCACCAATTGACAGCTCTACAAAATATGTACCTTCTCACCACAACTCCTACAAGTAATGCCACAATGTGCACAGAGCTCTCCTCTGCTTGAAAAGCTTGATAGGCTCTCCTATATATTCCTCTTCATCTCCGTCTTTATTTGCTCAACCATCTAAGATGGTTTTCCCCCCAAATGATCACTACCCGTAGAAGCAAAGGGGATATGACAATCCTGTTGTATTAGCTTGAGTCCTTTCTGGATCCATTCAGATTCCTGATACGCTTCCTCCCTCTGGGCCACTTGTATGGCCTGGTCAAGAGACTTTGGATCTCTTCTGTGTACTGCTGCTCTCACATCATCATCAGGTATGCATTCCCTGAGCTCTACCTCGCTAGTCTATCTTGTGAAGAGCAAGGCATCTCAGGATGTGTTGAAGCCTCCACCAGGTCATCATAGGCATACCCATCTTCCAGCTCCTGCACTAGCTGCTTAGTATCTCCCATCAACTGGTTAGCAAGGCCTGCCTCTTCTTTTCATTATTTCACTGCTTGCTCTCCATGCAATTCTTGAAGTATGCTTTGAAGTCTAACCACAGTGTGTTCCCATTAAACAATGTGGTTGGTTTAATCTTGGTTTTCCTTCCAAATTGTGCTGTCTCAATGTATAGGTAGCAATCTGAAGCAATTTAATGAGGGTATTGTCAGGACAATTGGGTCTATTTCAAAAGAATATACTATTCTTATGTGCCACAAATTGTACGTTAGATGTAAAAGTTGCATTTTGCCCCTAAAATTCAGACATTGTCCTGACAACACCCTGATCAAAGTGCCTCAGATTGCTAGCTAGTAATATTTTCTGGTAACTTAGACCTTGAGGAAGTCAATAAATCTGGTCGAAGTCTGGATTCATTCAATCTCGATTCATCTCTTTTGGAAATACTTTGGTCTTTCCACTAGGAGTCGTCTTGGCTCTCTCATTTTTGCCCACTGGTAGTGTGTCATCCACTTTAACACCACCAGGAGCATCTCCTCTCTTTTCTACCCTCTGAGTCACTTTTCTCTCCAGACAAGACTCCTCTTCTTGACACCTATCATTTGGAGGGGTTTCAAGCTGTTCCGATCTCAACTAGGGACCAATTTCACAATTCCACCATTTCTTCTGGAATCCTCTTCATCCAAGATTTCTCACTCAGTCTCAAACTTCCTTGACACCTCAATCATCCTCTTTGGGCAACAGAACCTATCACTGCCACCAATGTCTCACTTTGGCCTCTCCCGAGTATCCTGTATGGTCATTAAAGAAAAGATCAAAGGCGATCAATAATAAATCTTAGAGGTCTTTCTATGAGTGCTGACCTTGTTTGGTGGTACCGCAGTTAAAGATGGCTCACATAAAACAATTGCATACACATTTTTTAATCTATTCCAACATAGATAATACAGAAAACTCAAATGTCCATATATGATTTAATGTCACTATGATTGTGTATCTTTGGGAATCAGCACATCTCTGTTCAAGGAGTCGTCTCGTCCCTTTGGGAAATCACGTTTCTGCTCATGGACTGGGTTCAGGCTTTTGGAGTATCTTCTGCTCCGGGAGTTGTCTCGCTACCAGAGTGATCCCTAATCTACCTCTGCTCAAAAGAGAGCTTCATATCTATGAGCAAACTCGTCTCTCGGAAGAGTCGAGACTCTAGAAGTAACCTCTGCTTTTGAAGTCACTTCGAAACAGGAGTAATCTGAGCCTCTGCTCTTTGGTGTGGTCCAGTACATCGATCAACAATATCAGATTATACAAACTTATAATCACTCTTAAGAAATTAGTAACGCCTGGGAGAAATTTTCCCTCAAAGTGGTCATCGCCTACGGCGAAATGAAAGATGGCCTACCACAAGTTCTATGGGATTTAGAAGGCAAAAGAGTGGACAGCAAACTATGCATGATGGCGCAGACCTCAGGAGGACTCACCCTTCAAGATTTTGTATTACTCTGATTCACATGATCAGTTTCTCACACCCAAGTTCAGACACCCATTATTGATGAAACCTTATTCATCCAGGAAAAGAAGATTAAGGTATCTGATTGGCTGGTGGCCAGTTACTTGGTGCCTAATTATTTGAAACTGTCTGCCGAACCAGTAAACATCAGTATGTCTATGTGTCATTATGCATATACACTACTCTTTACCAAAGAAATTGTGAACTACAGGGAACAAAATATGAAATTAAGTCAAAATGACATCAAGTGAAACTACCTAAGACCTGTAATTGACATAGTATTGGCCAAAACTGACCATTTTAGTCCATAACCTAACTTTGCTAAGTGGTTGATAGGTTAACATTTTAACGTCATGGGTCCCCCTAGCTATGCCTTGTGAGAGAATGGCATTATACTGACAAAAATACATCATTTTTGTGAATGTTTTTCTGTTGCTAGGTTATCTGGTCAACTTGGACCTAGTTAACTCAGACCCTAGTTAAAGTCCCCGTCTAAAGTTTGAAAATATTTTTTTATCATTCATTTACTATTTGTCAGGACTTCAAAAGTAATTTTAGAGATTTTTGAACAAAAAAAAAATTTTGATGAAAAAGTTGTGAGCATTTCGTTTCTCAAATATTCAAATTTCCCGCCATTTTTCAAAAAAAGTTGAAATTTCTTGATCATCAAATATTTCTTAATGCATTTCAAAAAAGATTATCTTTTTAACACCAATGCAAAGATTGAACAAAGGACACACTATTTCAATAATAAAATGCCATATTTAATGGGCCACTTCAATGTTTTAGCATATCAAAAATATTTTGAAACATTAGTGATGTCACTAAGGTACCAAAAACTTTTTGAAAAAAATTGAAATTTTTTTTTCGATGTCAATCTTTTCTAAATATGTTAGACTTTCATAAAAAACCAATGTTGATTGTCTAACCAGATTAAAAGTAAGAATAAATTATGTTTTAGATATCATTGTACCATTGGTTTCTAGGAGAACTAAAATTTTGAAATGCATTTTTCTCAGAACCATTTTCATGCACTGATAAGTTCATTTCTCGTTTATTTATGAACCGATTTTCTTAATTTTTACGGCAAAAAACATGGGAGGATGAATGCTATGCATTGGTATGAATTGTGGCTAATTAGAAGATATGAGTGACCTCTAAAAGTTGGTTTTAAATAAATTCACAAATTTTGGAACAAAAAGTCTATCAAAAACCACATTTTGAAATTTAAAAAAAAAGTTTCACATATCACACTTTGATAACATTGGGTAAGACTACAATATAAGCCAAAGTGGTTTAAACTTTACATGGGGCCTTTAAAGGTATTCTGGGAGATACACGTGACAAAACATTGCTTCTGGAACGAGATCACACGACTTTGACATATTCTTTACCCTACCTATTTTGCAATTTAACAATCCACGCAAGTATACATACCATAATTAAGCACATATCGTACACATGATTGATCAAATCAATTATTCAGATTTTGCTGTGGATTTGATTTTAAATGCTTCTAAATGATCCTCTAATGCTTACTATGATTTCTATTCTATTTGATAAGCATTTAATCAGGGTGTTGAAGTTAACAAAATATAGAGGTATTACATTAATTCCAATATGCAGTATGAAGAAACATATCAGTACATTTTTGTTTTAAGATACAGCTTGAAAATAACATTTATTGTTTGTAATAGATTTTGGGCATATTTTAAAAGTTTCATGTAAAATACTATTGGTGACTACGTTTTAGGCATATTTAATCCTATTTGATTTCACATTTAGAATGTATGATTTATGATTGGCTCTTGGAATTATATATGATCACTTTTGCTTTTATATATTAATTTCCACTTTAACGCTCAACATATCGAAAAAAATATACATCGGTACAAGTTGACTAGCTAGGGACCGAGTTGACTAGGAACCGTTGCTATGTGTTTGCTAGGCATATGTTATGACTTCAAAATTCCTATTGTGTATACATACAGGGTGTCAAATAAGTCTGTTCTCACCATAACTTTTTGAAAGTTATCATACATCCCCATATATCATTTTAAAGCTTATGTAAAATGCTGATCACCCTTAGAATATCAAAAATGAACTCTTCCTAAATTGCTACAATGTTTCTTGTAAGGTTGTAGTTGACCATTGATTACGTCAAAAGAAGTTAAATTACCAGGATAGTGAATGGACAGTGAAAAGTTTATACTGCAGTTATGGAGGACAGGGACGTAAAGCCATGAAACATTGCTCCAATTGTAAATGTTTATCATCTAGATCATATAAAGAGGTTGTAAAATTGTAACTGTAAAGTTGTGCTCAGCTTCGACAATGCAATTTGAGGTGTTAACAGTCAGCAACTTTGAGTGACTATAATCCCTTGATTAATCAGATAAATACAAATCCAGTCATCAAGAAATACCATTCAATGTCTATTCCAAGAAAATGTATTTTGGAGGATGTGTCACAACCTTTTTGTATACATCATTCAATTCAAGCATATTGATATACATTGTCCTTGGGCACAATATTCTTCATTGAATGTGAAAAAATTAATGTTTTTGGATTCTCAGAAGAGTAATAAGTTAGTTTAGTAATACATTTACATGTATACATATATGTATGTGATAATCTTGATAGATTGAGATGTTTTTAGACATTAATAATCTTGTTATTTTCTCGATATCCATTTCCTGACTGATCCTTTAATCATATTATTTTGATAATTATCACATCACTTCTAATTTCATAAATTACAATTTATATACATTATCTAATCATATTAAGCACAATCTAACTATCTTTAATTACTATTGTTATCATACCATTTATTTGCACATTGTTTGGGATCCCTAGTAGGATGCCTAGCTGCTATCCTCTCCCATGGCAAGCCATAGAACAGATCTTCTATATCTTCAGTCTCAAGTTCATCTTTGATGGCCTGGACCAACTGAATTTCCTCTTCTTTACTCCAAATTCCTTGGTCTGTAACATACATTTACAAATTAGCAAGGTTTATCACTCACAAGGTTTATTATTCACAAGGTTTATCACTCACAAGGTTTATTATTCACAAGGTTTATTACTAACAAGGTTTATCACTCACAAGGTTTATCACTCACAAGGTTTATTATTCACAAGGTTTATCACTCACAAGGTTTATTACTCACAAGGTTTATTATTCACAAGGTTTATCACTCACAAGGTTTATTATTCACAAGGTTTATCACTCAAAAGGTTTATTATTCGCAAAGTTTATCACTCACAAGGTTTATTACTCACAAGGTTTATCACTCACAAGGTTTATCACTCACAAGGTTTATTACTCACAAGGTTTATCACTCACAAGGTTTATCACTCACAAGGTTTATTACTCACTGGTTTATCATGCATAAGGTTTATCATTCACAAGGTTTATCAATCACAAGGTTTATTATTCACAAAGTTTATCACTCACAAGGTTTATCACTCACAAGGTTTATTACTGACAAGGTTTATCACTCACAAGGTTTATTACTCACAAGGTTTATCACACACAAGGTTTATTATTCACAAGGTTTATCACTCACAAGGTTTATTATTCACAAGGTTTATCACTCACAAGGTTTATCACTCACAAGGTTTATTACTCACTGGTTTATCACGCATAAGGTTTATCATTCACAAGGTTTATCAATCACAAGGTTTATTATTCACAAGGTTTATCACGCACAAGGTTTATTACTCACAAGGTTCATCACGCACAAGGTTTATCACGCACAAGGTTTATTATTCACAAGGTTTACTATTCACAAGGTTTATCACTCACAACATTTATTACTTATATTAAAGTTTATTTCCAAGTCTATTGATTGTGTAAGTTGAATATCATTAAGAGCTACAAATAATTTAATGTCAGGGAGAATACATAACAGCTACATGTATTTAAAACCCTTTAAATAACATTTTACTTACTCTTTTTTGAACAATGTGAACGATAAGAACTAACACAAGCCCATCCACTATGGTCCAATTTCTCACCAATCATGGTCCATTTGTTACCATATTCATTTTGTAGGACCTTTAGCTTTTTAATATTTTCATCACTCATTCTAAAAATATAGAGATATTTTTTTATTCAGCAATACTTTTAATTTACATATTATAGTTCAAAATACAAATCAGCTAGACATCCTTTTGAATGCACTTGGAATGTTACTATTTTTGATAATATACATGTAATCTTTTAAATAGATGGGTTTTTAATACTGTACTTCTACTTCATTTGGCGCTACTTATTTTGGCGTATTTGCTATTCTGGACATTTGGCGGCTGCTTAATTTGGCGAACATGCAGTATTACAATGTACTATTTACTATTAAACAAAGAACTGCAAACAATTAATCAATGGTTTAAAGCTAACAAACTATCTCTTAACTTAGATAAAACTAATTTCATAATTTTTACTCCTGGTAGAAATTTTATCCATGACATAAATATACATATTGACAATGTGCCAATAAAAAGAGAAAGTAGTGTTAATTTTCTTGGAGTATTTATTGACGAAAAGTTAAATTGGAAAAGCATATTCAGCATATTACTAATAAGATATCAAGAATAACAGGCATTCTCTATAAAGTAAGAGACATCTTTGATCATGACTCTAAGCTTAAAGTATATCATTCATTAATCCTTTCTCAAATTAACTATTGCAATATTATTTGGGGTCATGTAAAAAAGAACATACTTACACCAATACATCTTATTCAAAAGAAATGTATTAGATTAATTACAAATTCACATTTTAGAGAGCACACTGCCCCTTTATTCAAAAGAGAAAACATTTTGACAATTTTTGATATTTATCATTTAAATGTTGCTACATTTGTATATAGATGCTTAAACATACCATCTGGCTTTCCTATATACATTTTTAAAGACTATTTTAAAATTTCCCAACATGGCCATGACACAAGATCTAAACACCAGGCCCGTAAGACACTTTTCTCCAAGGGGGGTGCGGTTTTTACTAAAGAGAATATAAAATATAAAAAATCAAATCGCGTAAGTCAGAGGGGGGGGGGGTCGGTTACTCCCTATATTGGTTTGGAATTAACAAATGCAACTTCCAAATGTTCCAATTGTTTTGTGGGGGGGTGTGAGGAGTGGTCCACTCCCCGTAGAAAATTTTTCAGTTTTGAGATGCTATTTGGTGCTTTCTAAGCACTTTCAAAGTGTATGAGTCAATAAGATTGATGTGAATTTTTTTTCAAATTTTTTTGGGGGTGTCAAAGAGGATGAGAGGGTGAAGTGGGGTGGGGTGCCAGAGGGGGAGCAAGGGGCTGTCCCCCAGAAACATTGACCATATCAAGGTACTATTTGATGATGTCTGAGACAATACATGAAATTCAGAATATTTTCTTTTGTTTTGTGGGGGATGTGAGGGGTGGCTAACTCTCCTAGAAAATTTACAATTTAAAGATGATATTTGGTGCTTCTGGGCACATTTAAAGTGTATTAGTTTATAAAAACATTGAAAAACAATCACAATTTTTTTATCTTATCTTATCTTTTTCAATTTTTTTTTTGGGGGGGGCTGCCAGAGGGGGAGGTGGAGTGGGGATGCTAGAGGGCGAGTAAGTGTTAGTCTCCCAGAATCATTCACTATATCAAGGAGCTATTTGATGATGTCTTGGCAATTTAAAAGTGTCTGAGACAATACATAAAACAAATTCAGAACTTTTCCATTGTTTTGTTTGGGGTGTGAGGGGTGGCCCACTCCCCCTGGAAAATTTTGCAATTTTACGACGCTATTTGGTGCTTTCTGGACACTTTCAAAGTGCATGATTCAATTAAAGAATTTGAGAAAATCACAATTTTTATCCAATTTTTTTTTTGAGGGGGGGGGTACCAGAGGGGGAGGTGGGGTGGGGATGCAAGTGCAAGATGCAAGAGGCGGAGCAAGTGTTAGTCCCCCAGAAACACTAACTGTATCAAGGAGCCATTTGATAATGTCTGGGCAATTTAAAAGTGTTTGAGACAATACATAAAACAAATTCAGAACTTTTCCATTGTTTTGTTTGGGGTGTGAGGGGTGGCCCACTCCCCCTGGAAAATTTTGCAATTTTACGACGCTATTTGGTGCTTTCTGGACACTTTCAAAGTGCATGATTCAATTAAAGAATTTGAGAAAATCACAATTTTTATCCAATTTTTTTTTTGAGGGGGGGGGTACCAGAGGGGGAGGTGGGGTGGGGATGCAAGTGCAAGATGCAAGAGGGGGAGCAAGTGTTAGTCCCCCAGAAACACTAACTATATCAAGGAGCTATTTGATGATATCTGGGCACTTTAAAAGTGTCTTAGACAAAACACTAAAATAAATTTAGAACTTTTCCATTGTTTTGTGGGGGGTGTGAGGGGTGGCCAATACCCCTAGAAAATTTTACAATTTTAAGATGCTATTTGGTGCTTTCTGGGTACTGCCAAAGTGTATGAGTATTTTTCCAAAAAAATTTTTTTTTCAAAATTTTTTTTTTCGAATTTTTTTTGGGGGGTGAAAAAGGGGGGTGCGGTCGCACCCATCGCACCCCCCCATCTGACGGCCCTGAACACCTTTTAGTCCAACCTAAATACCGCATTAAGTTTGGGTGGGACTCACTTAAATATATTGGACCATCATATTATAATAAACTACCTAATGAAATTAAGCACAGTGTCAGTACAGTTAAATTCAAGGCAGCACTTACACATCATATTATATCAACTTATTTATTTATATGTAACTCTAGCAGACTCTACCATCTCACTTTTCCGGCATTCCTGCACTTCATTAAAATAATTGTATTTACAAATATTGACTTTTGATCCTTGAACTACAATATACGCTTTGCGTCAGATTGTATATGAATACTATATGTAACATGTTAAAAAAATTGGAATAAACTTAAACTTACTAATGGTACTAACATACATACTAGAATGACTGGGGAATTTGGCAGCTACTTAATTTGACAGACTTTTACAATTGGCGGATATGCCAAATTAAAACGGCCGCCAAATTAAGTAGAAGTACAGTAGTATGTCATACAAGTTTTCTGAAGTTTAACTTGTTATTAAAGTTAAAATACTCTTAAAGACTTTAGACAGGAAGGGCAATAAATATGTTTTAATAATTATGGGTAACAAAAAGAGGTAAACATGTTCAAAAGAAAACCTCTTATATAACAGAATATAACAGAATAAAAAAGCTCAATATACTTGTACATCCACAAACGTAATTACCTTTGAATGGGTGGGCAAAAATCATAAATGGTTTAATGGTTAAATCATACCATCAATATCTAAAAAGAACAAATCCTTAATTTTGAAAACATGAGTGTGTAATTACTTTTTCAGGGAAAGGGAAGGTGAGATGATTCTGGAATGTAATTTAAGATGTTTTGAGAGGACACTGAAAACATTGACCAATGTCCCTAGCCTGTCATTAGAGAAGCTGATTCCTTACCTTCCCTTGTGATGAAGTGGATGGTACATTGTCCTGGCCTTGACATAGCAGCAATACAAAGTTCTCCTAATTCCAAATGCTAAATACAATGAAAAAAGAAAAATGTAAGATGATTGGATCTACGATATCCCCAAATGATAATTTGATTTTGAGTTTTTTTCAAATGCGTACATGTAGATGAAGTTTCACTACCAGGTAGGTTTTCTTCAAACCTGTTGTTTTGGTAATATGGAAGTACAGTACTGTTGTTTTAGTTTAAAATACATTACCATTATACAATATCAATTTAATGTTTTTTTCAAGATCCAATATCAAGAGATTTTAGGTATCATCAATAAATTTTACAATAGACTCTTTTGTGGTCCCAATGGTGTACCACTTAAATGAGTTAAAGTGTTGTACTCTTGTGTTTTTATTTCCATTCAACTGTTTCTACTCTAAATTTAAAGATATTTTATCATGGAAAGGCTCTAATTAGAGCTTGGGTACTAAATACAACAATAATGATAATTGGTGATTCAAACAAAATTTTCAGGTACTATTTGACAAGATTATTAATAAAACATGGTGCTATGACATTTTTATAGTGTCAAGAACAGAAGCTTATGAGATGCTTACTTTGAACTTAAGCTTGTCAAGAAATATCTGTATTACCCTTTGTATCCGTTTGACTTAAACGATAGCTTTGTCTTCATTCTCTCAGTTTACAATAAATCTTTGAGCTCACTGAGCCAATCAGATGACTTCCTATTATGGTCATTTCCTCTGATGTCATAGCATACTGGGGCTGCTAGACTGTAATATAGCCTATAGGCCCTACTACCCTTTGCATTCGTTGGACTTCACTTCTTAAAAGAGAGCTTCTTCATCACTCTTTCAGTTTACAATAAATCTCTGATCTCACTGAGCCAGTCAGAGTTCGTCGTCGAAATATGGACAACTTCCTATATGGTAATTTCCTCATAGTTATCACCGCATAGTTAATGAGCACGTATTTAGCATGTGTTCCTTCCACTTCGCTGATTGGTTGAGAAAGGATCAACGTGGTAGATTCGAAATGATTTATAACCAATCTTTGGGCCGGGCTGCTAAATTGTAATATAGCCAATACTAGGCAGAGGGAAGTTTGTAGCTAGACTGCACGAAGGCTTTATCTGTTTATCAGAGAATTATGATTTCTAATTGATAGTCAAATGCACTCTACATGTACAATGAACTCACCAAGCTTAATGTAGAAGTTCTCCCTTCTTATGAGGTTCATAAGATATGATTTTCTTGGCCCTTTCTTAAGAGCCTTATGTTTGAGTAAATCATATGGATTTGTCACATTGTGTTCCTACAAAAAAGAAATAGAAAATGTTGTCACACCAATGACGTCGTCTGTGCCTGCTTTTATAGTTAAGGCTGTTTGGCCTAATCACTTTATTTGATACTACTTTTTTGCCATACCAAATTAGGAAAGTTCTCATTTATTAGTCTGAATCTTAAACTAAGCTCTAAATGTGTCAATTTGGATGAAAATTTGAAGAATTAAAAATATGTGACAATATGTGAAATCAGCAGTCAATACAGAAAAAATATGAAAAAAGTACCTTTACAAAAGCATTGAAGTTTTTCTCAAGCTGTTCAACTTCTGCGTGCTGCCAATATCCCTTCATTATTTCTGAAAAGATTCAATCAGAGAATTAATATCATGTTTGAACATATAGAACTTCATAAGTGACAATCATAAATGTTCAATGAAAAAGCAACCAAGTCAATACTCCACATTATCTCAAAACACAATAAATTCAATTTCAGAGTGACCTCAATCAAATAAATGTAAATAGCTAAGCCTAATCACCTTACGATAATTCTTTTTATGATAGAAGCACCAAAATTGGTACAAGTGTAACTGATGGCAATTGAAAAAAATTGGCTCGAGGCAGCAAGTGATCCGGAGCCTCATTCTGAAAAAAATCCAAGATGGCCGCCAATACATATAGCTTTTTAAGAAATTTGAATTATCTTTGAATTAATGTTGTATTTTAGCTCTAAACCAATTGTATTTGTTTGAGGGAATTCCAGACAGTTGCTTGTGATATAGGAACTACTTTACATTATATTTAACTATTAAAACGGGAGTTCAGCAAGGCTCAGTATTAAGCCTTGTACTATTTTATAAGCTTTTATTGAATTACTCATAATTATACATATCAATATGAGAGTCACACATATGATTGAGAATAAATGCTGGATAGACTCTGCACTGAAGGGATATTAAATATATTTTCTTTTGGAAAAAATCTCTAGCCATGTTAAAACATGGTATGTACATAGTCAAACCTGTCATACATAGAGTAAATCCTGGTCAAATACCAGTGCTTGCGGCTGACCAACCATTGTTTGATTCCCTGAAAACCATTCAATAGATATACCCTGATACACATGGGGAAGATAAATACTTGATCATGTTTGGAGGTCTCCATATAGAAATGGCATTCCAGAAGGTGGTTGGTGATTGGCTGACAGACAGCGTTTGAGTAAATGTAATTGCTCAGTCAAATACAGCATCAGTTGGTACTGCAGAGTCCTTCCTAAAGGAAAGCCATATAACCAAGACTCGAAGAGCACGTCAAATTATGTTGGCAGCACTCCACATCCTAATGAAGAAAGCTTTCAACATATACCTAGCTGCTGCCCAACTCAGAGATGTAGCCCCCCTATCCTTTGAAGAATGGAAAAGGGAAGGGGAAGCCAATTCCCCCCATTTCAAATACTGGGCTATAACACAGGGCCTTGAAATGATGCTTATGATCTTTGTTAGATCCCTGAGAGAGGCAGACTTTAAACTCTACATATCTGTTTTGACCAAGATGATGCCCTGGTTTTTTGCATTAGATCATACACACTATTCCAGATGGCTCCCAATACACCTAAGGGACATGGTCCAATTGGAGACAACTCACCCTGACCTGTATCAGCGTTTCAATGAAGGTCTCTTTACAGTTCAGAAGACACCTAGGTCATTCTCAACCATCCCTATAGACCAGGCCCATGAGCAAATAATACTCTGATTAAGGGTTATGGTGGGGATATAGGAATAACAGAGAATCCTAGCGCACTGAAACGATGGATGATAGCTGGTCCTGCAATATCCCAGATCATCAAAGAGTTTGAAGAAGTCTCAAGTATAGGAGACATGAAAGCCAACGAAGACTTTAGCCACCACGAGCAAATAGCAAGCATCCAACAGAAATTTAGAGATGATGTATTTACTGTTGTGACTACTATTGATAAACTAGGCAATCCATTCCTTGTGTCAGGTGAAGATGTATGTATCAGTAAGTGACACCATCAGAAGTATAGAAGACATTGGCAACCAAAGCTTCACTAAGTGTACAACTGAACATCTTGTGGAGAGAACTGAACCATTGGATACACCCATAAAACGCCACAAGATCGCAATGTTTAGCAGCAAAATACCCAAAAGAATAAATCAGAAATCTCAAATCAAGAAAATGAGAAATGACTGTGATTTATTCACCAAATTATACATCACATGCCAGACAAGAAACATTGATCTTGATGACTTTCTCATGCAACTACAGCAAAGACCGTTGAGGATTATGCCACTGATGTTTTCCTTCCCTACATCCAAGGTTAGCTGCAACATGTTGATCGCCTCGATATAATTTGGGATGAGTACCTGACAAGGAGTCTGAAGACAATGACGAGACAGAAGCGTGGGAAAGGTGACAGAAGGATGACCTACACATATCTTGGTAACACTGTGCCCAGAAACTGGCAATCTTACTTGAGAGATGACTCAAACAAGCAACAGTTGTTTGGTATTTTAGCCTACAAACTATCAAGTCTTCCATTAGATTGTGACCACCATTGGTGAGAAGATGATTTGCAATCCTGCAATTAGTGATACAAATGACTTGGAGCCATGTTCTCATGAAGAAGCAGATACCAAAATGTTTGTCCACATTGCCCTTATGGCTAGAAGAGGGTTTGCCAGAATACTTATCAGAAGCAATGATACTGATATAGTTGTCCTTGCTGTAGCTGCCTCTGCCCAACTAGGTATTAGCATATAGGTTGCATTTGGAACTGGAAAAAACTATAGGTATTTGGCTGCTCATGAGATGGCAAGAGCTCTTGGACCTACCAAATCTGGATGTCTCCCTGTTTTCCATGCATTTACTGGGTGTGATAGGACATCGTCATTCTTTGGCCATGGAAAAAAATAATGTTGGACAGTATGGAATAAATATCCAGAAGTAACAGAAGCATTCCTCGCTTTAAAACAAAACCCACATCACATAGCAGAAGAAGCTCTATTTCTATTGGAACGTTTCACAACCATTGTGAATTATTGTGTTTTATGGATTATGGCGATGGCTTTTTTGAATGGATGTTGACCCTTTGAAATGCCTATGGACTTGGAGACTGGATTTTATCTATCCCACATCATTTGAGACTGAATGCTCTATCTTGTATGAGTACTTGTATCTACAACTATTTTTGATGTTATGAGTATTGGCTATCAATTTCTAATTTTTTCTTTAACATGTATTGTAATGACTTCAGTATGAATGAAATGTCCCTTGGTGTTCTGGTCTTGGATTGTGATATCGGTTCTTGAATGGTGGGGGGAAAGGGGGTATTATACATTGTTTCTTTTCACGTTAGATCATGGTTTTGGGATATATGTGGTTTGTTTTTCTTGACTGGTATGCACTTAGAGTTTGCTTTTTCTTGCCGAGTTCCATTACAACTTTTGGTCCTTTCTCTTTGGCACTTGTGCTTAGATATTTGTCATTGTTCTCTATGACAGGACAAGTTCAACAACTGATATTAACTCAACCAGAAAATATCTTTTCACCAAGAAGGGAAGACAGATTGACAAGATACCTCTGACCAAGGCAGCTTTGGAGCAGCATATTAGGAGAGATTGTTAGGAGGGATTGTTTGAGACCAAATACTGGATCCTCGCCCAAGTGGTGTCCAGGATTATTTGAAGTTTGGCTCGGAGGAGGATGATGGTGATCACGTGATTCCACTTTTTGGTCTACTCTTCAGCAAACATCAATAGCATGCAGAGAACTCATAAAGTGTCAATGCAGCAAGGGGTGTCATCCTTAGTATTGTTCATGTAACAAAGCTGGCTGGGCAAAATGCACAGACCTTTGTAAGTGCAGTGGGCTTTGCACTGATTAGTGAGAGTAACAATAAAGGACAAAATATTTGAGATTTGAGAAAGATGGTGATCAAAAATGTAAAACATAGACAACTTATCAAACACAAATTGTGACAATTTATCAAACATAAATTGCCCCAGCATTGACATTTTCGCATTGTAGCACCATCTAACTGGTACTGTAACAATAACCCCCTTATTTTGGATATGTGGCTGAATATATTCTCTAATACAAGTTGTTCAGTAGAAGTAAGAGATCTTATTATCCAATATTATGTAAGTACTCAGTCTTTGGTTAAAGGCCCCATATAAAGTTTAAACCACTTTGGCTTATATTGTAGTCTTACCCAATGTTATCAAAGTGTGATATGTGAAACTTTTTTTTTAATTTTCAAAAAGTGGTTTTTGATAGACTTTTTGTTCCAAAATTTGTGAATTTATTTAAAACCAACTTTTAGAGGTCACTCATATCTTCTAATTAGCCACAATTCATACCAATGCATAGCATTCATCCTCCCATGTTTTTGCCGAAAAAATTAAGAAAATCGGTTCATAAATAAGTGAGAAATGAACTTATCAGTGCATGAAAATGGTTCTGAGAAAAATGCATTTCAAAATTTTAGTTCTCATAGAAACCAATTGTACAATGATATCTAAAACATAATTTATTTTTCCTTTTAACCTGGTTAGACAATCAACATTGGTTTTTATGAAAGTCTAACATATTTAGAAAAGATTGACATCGAAAAAAAAATTCAATTTTTTTCAAAAAGTTTTTGGTACCTTAGTGACATCACTAATGTTTCAAAATATTTTTGATATGCTAAAACATTGAAGTGGCCCATTAAATATGGCATTTTATTATTGAAATAGTGTGTCCTTTGTTCAACCTTTGCATTGGTGTTAAAAAGATAATCTTTTTTGAAATGCATTAAGAAATATTTGATGATTAAGAAATTTCAACTTTTTTTGAAAAATGGTGGGAAATTTGAATATTAAAGAAATGAAATGCTCACAACTTTTTTTGAAAATTTTTTTTTTGTTCAAAAATCTCTAAAATCACTTTTTAAGTCCTGACAAATAGTAAATGAATGATAAAAAAATATTTTCAAACTTTAGACGGGGACTTTAACAATTTTTGATGAATAACATGTCATTTATGAACTTAATAGTACAGGTCATAATACTGAACCTTGTTTTACGCCGTTTTACATTTGAAACTCAAGTTAAATGTCAGTTCATCAAAAAAGATTCATTTCAAAGCCACTTCTTGAGGTTTCTATGCAGTTTTCATTAATATGTTAGAGGATTTTGAGATTTTAATAGAAATCGGCTAAATCACAAACAGACTGGCGGCCATTTTGAATTTTTTCCAAAACGAGGCTCCGGATCACTTGCTGCCTCGAGCCATTTTTTTCAGTTACAATCAGCTACACTTGTACCGATTTTGGTGCTTCTATCATAAAAAGAATTATTGGGAGGGTTCTTCAAGTGATTCAGCCTAACTAAAATGAACATCCATTGTGATGAATTTCCCTCAAAGTTGCTACTTTTTTAACTCAACAAAATGTAATAAACCTTCACACACCACCAATTGGGGCCATTATTTTTAAACTTACTTGGATGTCCTTTAAATAAATCTGGCTTGGTTTTCATCAGTACTTTAAGAGCTTTTGGTGTACGATGGCTTAAAACACTGTTGTTTAATACATCTAAAATATCACATTTATCTCCAGCACTAACTATGGCCTTCTCAACATCATCAGGAGTAAAGATACGAATTTCTGTTTCTCGTTTTGTCTCATTGTTGACTTTTTCTGTATGCTTCCTAATATTTATTTCTTGTTTCTTCTTTTTAACTTTACCTGTTGTAGATGGTTCATCATCCTTGTTTGATATTGATATGTCTTTAAACATATTATCTCCTGTTTTGATATTTTCAACAGACATGTTTTCCTCTTCACCTTTATCTTTACGTTTGTGGCTCCTTTTCTTCTTTTTATGTTTTTTAGTTGATGTACTTTGATTATCAACTGTTCCTTCATGGTGTATTTCTTCAATCTTTTTCAACTGCGAAGTTTCAGATTTTCCTGTTCCTGACGCTTCAATGGATAAGTCAGACTCAGGAGTGTCATTTTTGATCTCCAGTTGCCTTTCCACACTCATTTGTTTCTTCTTCTTATGTTTCTTCTTTTTAACTTTACCTGTTGTAGATGGTTCATCATCCTTGTTTGATATTGATATGTCTTTAAACATATTATCTCCTGTTTTGATATTTTCAACAGACATGTTTTCCTCTTCACCTTTATCTTTACGTTTGTGGCTCCTTTTCTTCTTTTTATGTTTTTTAGTTGATGTACTTTGATTATCAACTGTTCCTTCATGGTGTATTTCTTCAATCTTTTTCAACTGCGAAGTTTCAGATTTTCCTGTTCCTGACGCTTCAATGGATAAGTCAGACTCAGGAGTGTCATTTTTGATCTCCAGTTGCCTTTCCACACTCATTTGTTTCTTCTTCTTATGTTTCTTCTTTTTAACTTTACCTGTTGTAGATGGTTCATCATCCTTGTTTGATATTGATATGTCTTTAAACATATTATCTCCTGTTTTGATATTTTCAACAGACATGTTTTCCTCTTCACCTTTATCTTTACGTTTGTGGCTCCTTTTCTTCTTTTTATGTTTTTTAGTTGATGTACTTTGATTATCAACTGTTCCTTCATGGTGTATTTCTTCAATCTTTTTCAACTGCGAAGTTTCAGATTTTCCTGTTCCTGATGATTCGGAATGTGTATGCTTTCTTTTGCCCAATTTGAACATTGTCTTTTCTTCATGTTCTTGATGACCAGAGCTCGGATGTAGATTTTCTGAATCCTTTTGACAACTATTGTGTGATGCTGAAACTATATCTTCAGATGATTTATGTTGCATCTTTGCCTGGCTATTAGATGAGAAGACAACTGTTTCCATTGGTTGGCTGAGCTCCCCATCACCAAACATACCAGTTTCAACAAAGAGTTTACGTCTTTTCTTCTTTGAGGATCTTTTGGGGGAAAAGATTGGTGCCCCAATTGGCTGACTAAGCTCCCCTCCACCGAATATACTTGTATACTCAGCCATCTCAGAAATTGTAGCTATTGTAGAAAGGTAATGTCTGGAGGTTTCTAATTAAACCTGAAACATGAAAAGACAATGTTTAAGATGACATTTAGTGTAAATCATTTCTAGTCATGCCCCACATCAAGATTACTACTTAAAGGCATCGCAATGTGAGAATGTCACACATAACTCAACATATTTTACTTTACTGGTGAATTGAAGTTTACAATCAGACTATGGCCAGGTTTTATTTCAGAGGTATTCATTAATTTTACAGTACACAAAGTATTTGGAAAGTGTGTGAGACAAATCAAGATCCGAGCAAATTTTGTGAAGTAATATATGTAATAGATAAGGCATTAACATGCACATGAAATGACATAACATTACAACGAACTCCATCCTCAAAAAAGTTGGTGACTATAACAATAATGTTTGAAAATTTGAAAATGAGATTGCCTTTAAAGCATTCTGGGGCGTTTTAAAATATGGGGTACCAACTAATATGGATGGACTGATAAAACATAAATTATCGGGCATTTTTAAAAATTATATCAATTCAATTCTGTTCTTCCACAAAACATGTGAAAATTGTGTAAATACAAACCAAATGGTAGCAATCATTTGTGCTGCCATGATGATCTACAAAAAACTACAAACATCCCAGAACTTGCACCCTTTCGAACATAAAGAAGCTTGCAGGTGTAACAAATTCAGGTGTTGAATCAGTAAATTGCACGAATTTGTTGATAGAAAATTTAGAGTTTATTACAGTATTACAACACAATTTAAAACCAACAACATTTATTTTGCTTTTCACAAATGATTCTTACAACACATATTCAGAATATCCAGTACGTAATTCAATACAAATAAAAAATCAGATTTTCTCTAAATTTTGAGAGTATGCCATGTTGTTTTTACCCCCATAAATGTGAGGTTGATCTTTCAAATCACCCCCACAACTATTTGTATATTGAAATCTTGGGGTTGAAAATTAGTTGGATTTGTGGTTATTTAGATAAAATTCAGCTTTGTGTCAACAACTGACAATGTTTTAAAACCCCAACATTTCAGTACACAAGTAGTTGTGGGGGTGACATGCCCATAGCCAGCTTTTTGTAAGGGGGGGAAGCCTGATCCCGTGATCTTGAAAATCCAGAGGGGAAGGGGGACAAAAATACATGCGCTTGCACAAAGAAAAATAAGACACACGGTGAACAATTCTTTTCGTGTAGTTGAATCCACAATTGTCTGGGTTTATCGGCAGAACGAAGAAATTTTCATTTTTGATCGCAATATTTGCGTGTAATATTTAACTTACTTCAACCGTCAAATTCTTCCATTTATTGGTACTTTCGGGCCACTCATAGGCCAGTCAAATGAAGAATCCCCTCTTAAATCCAACCACCATTTTTAAAAAGTGATGAAATCTCTCTCGATGAAAAAGAAAAATGTTCCCCTTATGCCGATATAGTATACCCAGATAATTGTGGATTCAACTACACGAAAAGAATGTTAAAATACCCAGGAATCTATTGAAGTAGGTATCTTAAGTGTAAGAGGCGTAGAAAATTCTCCCATGTTGTAATCTAAGGCAAAAGATTGAGACGTTCTCATGACTTACCATATTCTATGGCCACTGAGTGTGGCCATACAATATAAATAAGACACTCTTTGTTGTTTTGAATTTGCCTTTAAATTGCCGAGCCGTCTTATTTTTATTGATGTAAACATAATAAACTCACCTTCATTGATCTTTACACGCAGTCCTATTTCATAAATTGGTCTACTTCGCAGGATATTTATTCACAAAAGAATTAAAACAAAACTGAAGGAAATTTTTACAACAAGCGGCCATCTTGACTAAATCGCTTTAGCGGAAAAAAGGCATGCTTTCAAAATGGAGAACGAGATGACGTCTATTTAAATGAAAACGTTCAATATCTCATCAACAAGACAAGCCGTTACCATTTCAATTCATGAAATATTAACAGAACGATTTTTAGAATATTACATAAATTTATTGAATGACGGCTTAAGATTTTACAATAGTTCACGGTGTTCCAGATGGAATCACTTCTAGCCAAGACTATAGTCCTGGCACGGGATAAGGGGTGGGTAATGAATTAATCATAGGAGACAGGTTACCTGAAAAGGAAGATAGATGACATCTATTATTAATACCAAGGACAGAAACAGAAGTGCATTTGAAACCTGCCTACCCTGGCTAAAATCAGCTCTGAAATGACAATTACTGCATGTCAAGCCGTCATTCAGGGCTGATTTTGTAGAAAAAAGATCCGACCATACTTCTACATGAGAGTTTTTACCCTAAAGATACATGATCGAGTACAAATCCATCCGATTCTACCCCTAAGAATTTCCATTTCAACTGTACATCAATCGCGTGAGGAAACAAGATAATCCAGTGAAAAAATCACTGAAAAACTACAAAGACCCGAAGTTAGGTATAAGGGGCGGAAAAGATGGAGTGATAGTGAAATGTTGCTTTTAGTGGAATCTATTAAGTAAATGGTTATATTGTCACAGAAACATGTAGCGCCACTTATACTATTAGGCTATTGGTATACTGTTCTGGATGGGGTAGGGTTACTTACAAGTAAGGAACTCTATTGTTATTTTTGTAAATGACTTTTTTACCAAGAACAATATAGATAGCGCTTCGTGCTCTTTTACGTTATGTTACATTTTGCAAGGGGTTTTAAATCAGATTTTCAAACTGTGAACACAATTTCTATATCTGTTTTTTTGTGTTTTGATGCAGTATTGCATGACCAAGAAAAGGTTTAAATATACGAATAAACTCTAACAAACTTCATTATGTCACCATCTCTACACGGTGACATAAAACAATCATGTAACTTAAGCACATATTGTTGTGGCGTCTTATAGCCCAAAAATATACAACTAATCTCAAAAGTCCAATTAAATCCCTAGTGAATGACATCTGGACCCTGATTGAAACTTATTGGATCTTGTCGTGACATCATTTGGACTCTGTGGAAAGTTCTAATGTGGGGGGTCTTTGTAAAAAAACAAATCCGTACTTCGCCTCCTTTTAACTAATGTCCACTAACTGCAAGGAGAAATTGTCTCTTATTCAACAAACGGCAAATGTGTATGTTCACGCATTTATACATAATCTTTTAGAAAATGATTACTTGAAATCTCACCTGTATTTCATGGAAATATTCAAAGTTGAAATATGTTTGACGGACCATTTGCCATTTTGTCACGTGATGATCACGTGGTGTTTGAGGTGAATGATCTCCAAATAAATATAATGTTGGATTGTTTAAATAAATAATATGATTTTCTACTTGATAAAATTCTTATTAGAATGTATATTTTACAAATTGATTTTTGATAGCTCTTAAATGAAAAAGAACAAGAAAATAGCACAGGTCACGTGAATACTGTTGCACTGAACGAACGCTAGGAGATTGCCCAGCTGCGAAGAATATTAGTTTCCTCTAGCTAAAAATGGCCAAAACTCAATGTTCATGGTAAGATCCGAAATAGATAAGTCTGTCTGTTTTACAAACAACATCTTACAATTACATATTTCATGAATTCTTCTTGTAGGTTGTTGTAGGAATGCGATAAACAATGATAATTGTCTACTTCCGGTGACGAAAATGTCTAAAAATTCAAACGAAAATTCACATGCTAAGGATGCAAGAGTTATGCCTGGTACAGCCGTCACCATACCTCTTTGACATTATTACTGGACGAAGCATATATCCTTTATACTCCAGGGCCGGTGAATTTGTACGATCTGCGATCCGATCCGGATAAATCACGATTACACCAGGCTTTCACTATAACACTACCATGGTCATGGCTGGATCCTTGCGAAACTTAAAAACATTTAATAACATGGTGAAAGTTTTGCCAGGCATAAGTCTTGCAAGAGATAGGGCCTCGTTTATGTCTTGCTTATTCAATGGGAGGGGGGTTAGGTGCTCACTGGACATAGGTTTAGTCTAAAGAAATCAGCTATTTGTTGTATGTTGACCTTTAGTCACCCCTCCCTTTTACATTGTGTAGCATATATTAGGAGAATATTACAATTTGGTGACTTATTCCCCACGTTATATGTTCATGTATTTGAACAAAATTATAGATGAGAATTGTTGTAATTATCCCAATGAACGAAGTTTGGTAGGGATATAGTGAAGCCATCTGTCCGTCTGGCCATCAGTCTGTCTGTCCGTCCTGAAGATAACTCAAAAACTATATGACAGATTTTCTTTATATTGGATGTTTTTCATCTGAAACCAAAGTAATGAATTTAATTTTATTTTCATTTTCAAGAGAAGTTTGAATTATTTTTACAGCTTTACTATACTCAAATGAAAGGCAATTTTGAGTAGATTGCAAATATTATATCGTTTTTCTGAATCAGGCTTTGTAAAATTCAAAATACATGTAGCTGCCTAATGAGGGATTTTGCAAGAATTTTTCTGATCTCTTAGATATTGTCTATATATTATACATGTAAATTGAGAAAAAGAAATTTTAGAGTAGATCACGATTATGGTATTGTGTTTCTGATTGAAATTCAAAATGGCTGTCTAGAGCAGGAATTTGGCATTACTTAGAGACATTTTTAAATGTTGTACAATGATCTCAATTGTTTATTGAAGGAAAGAGTAAATGGTAAATATTACATTGTGACTGTACAGATTCACAATTTATATAGTGTTCGTTGGGATTTGCTACTCTGTGGAGTTGCAGATTTATAGTTTTTACTGCTTACTGAATATTTTTATGACATACATTTTTTATTTTAATTTTCAGGTTAGTCCATCATACCATGCTATCAAAGGATAATGCCACACCAGAAGTCTGTGACAGTTTGGTAAAGCTTTGTGAAGCTGATATAGGAAGCAAAGTCAATCCTGCAAACTTTGGAAGGTTGATAATGAATGCAATAGGCACAAAACGTGAAAGGGTTCATGTTCCATGCAGCAGTGATAGACAGGCTACCATATATAGCGGATTAAAGTATAGACAAAACAGCTGCACTTGTTATCAGGGCACTGCTGTTGCTCCCAGTTACCAAGTAGTTAAACAAAATGTGATGTCCATCATTCCAAATGCCAGGGTATCTGAAGAGCCTACAGACATTCTCATCCAACTGAAGTCTGATATGACATTGAATGGACTACCCATTTTTAAAGACATCATAATTTCTACAGTAACCAGTACATTTAAGATATGTGTGGGCACAAGAACTGTTGACCTGCAATCTATTTTACTTGACAATACTTTCCCCAGTGATACCAACTGTATGCAGACTCTATTCAACATTATCAACAATATATCCCTCTGTTGCGGCAAACCAAAATTAGGCGATACAGTAGTGCGTTCAATCCAAGTAGAAAAATGTCAAATATCTTCCAATAGCCCTAATTATATTCTAAGGAGTCCAAACTGCAATAGAGTTTTAACATTCCATATGGGTAATTCTACACAGTCATGTACAGTTTGCAGGAATATTACTGTAAAATATTCCAGGGATAAAAATTATTTAAAGGTAGATCCATCAGACTCTAAAGATGTACAAGATATTATTGATCAGGTTATGCCAAATGCATCCAATGCTACAAAAAAATTTTTCCATGAACAACAACAACATCAAATGCTTAATGACCCCAGGGGTCACAAGTGGGACCAGGCTACCATCAGTGTTGCTTTAGGACTGTGGTGCCAAAATCCAAAGTCCTACGAGACTTTGAACAATTCAGGATTTATAAAATTACCTTCTGGCAGAACTCTGCAACACTACAAAGCTAAAGCGTCTAATGACACTGGATTAAATCCGGATATTATTAATTGGATGCTGCAACAGGCTAAACAACAGCAACAGCCTCAAAGTGCGTATACAGGTGGGATCCTCATTGATGAGATGTCTATCCAGGAGGATCTGATTTGTGTACGTCAAGGCTCACACTTGAAATTAGTTGGATTTGTGGATATGGGGAGAGAAGCTATGGACCTGAAGATAATGTCAAGCAAATCTTCAGAGGAGGCATTAGCTTCTTATGTACTCCAGTTCACCTATTTAGGCCTCAATGGCTTCAGATGGCCATTGGCCCATTTTCCAAGCAAACAGGCAACTGCAGAAGAATTACATATTCTTCTTTGGAAACTTATTACTTTTTTGGAAGTATACACATTTACAATCATTTATTGCAGCCTCGATGGTGCAATCACAAATAGACAACTCATTGATATCAATTTTACAGAAATGAACCCCCTTACTGAGAACTTCAAAATACCATCGCCAAAAAATCCATTTAGGCAATATTTGATTTTCATAATGGATATGAAGCACTGTCTGAAGAAAATAAGAAATGGTATTTTGGCAAGTAGATCAAGTGGAAATAGGACTTTATCTTGGAAAAACTGCCCAATTGTATGGGACCAATTTGTGGATACCTATAATTTCGACAAATGTAATTCATTGGATATTAATCGAAAACTTACTGACAAACATATACATTTGGACAATGCATCTAAAATGAGAAATCATTTGGCAGAAGAAGTATTAGACCGCCATTTTTTAGAAGTCATGTTACAGTACAAGTCAACTCTAGGAAATGGAAGTGAGGCTTTAAATGGACCAATAGAACTACTCCAGCAGACAAGTGTTTTAGTCACAATTTTCTGTGAGGACAAGAGACCCATCAAATCACTAACTGATGACAGGATAGTGGCATTAAAGTCCGTCTCTGAGTGGTTTCTTTCGTGGGAGGAGTCAGAAAAGACAGCTGGTGGTCTATGGAGGCAACGACTATTGTCAGATGAGACCAGATTTGATTTACAGTCAGCAGTTCTTGGCTTTATACAACTTTGCAAAGAGAGGTAAGATTGGTAAATATATCATTATCTTAACAAAACAGTGAAACCCTCTCTCTGTCAGGTATTCCATCCATTTGTAAGCCAAATATCTTGAATACTTGCACATACACCCCGGAATAGCCTGACAACGGTAAAGTCAGATAACATTGTCACAAATGGGGGGCATAACCGTCGCTTCAATTATATTTTCATGAACTGTATGTTTAAAGCTGGACTTTGCCCCGAAACGCATCTTGGGTTGTTTCGGGGGTGAACTTTATCATTTTGAGCTTAATGAAGGATTATAGAATGATGAACAAATGGGGCAAATCTTGTGTAGAAATACTTACTATAAATGTGTCATTTCAAAGATTTTTCATTGAATTGCTCTGATCGGAGCCGGCGATATGATTTTGGAAAGGTTTCTAAATGAAGAACGTGACGTCACTTCCGAATCATAGCATTCAAAATAAGTAGCGTTTAATTACTTCTACCATACATAATATCACGGTGGTCTAGCGGTAGAATGCTCGCTCAGCACGCGGGAGGCCCGGGTTCGAATCCCGCATGCCCCTTTTTAGCTCACATGGTGAGCTTTTGCAATCACTCACTTGTCCGTCTGTCTGTCCGTCCGTCTGTATTACAAGATGTCCGTCCGTCTGTTCGTCAACAATAGTGGCACGTTTTAAAACCTCTGTCGATAGGATTCCTGTTTTGAGTTATTTCTGTTCAACATCAATACAGAAGACCCCCCTATGACTCCTGGTTCAAAAGCTCACTTTTGGCCCATTTCCTAGCTTTACAAATAATTTCAGGTGTCCTACATTGTAAAAATCCATGTCAATGTAAAGAGTAGATGTATGAAATAATTTTGTTACAAAAAATCAGCGAAAAATTATATCCATTTTTTTATTTTCAGCCATTTTAGTTAACATTGATTTGTCCATCTGTCTCGCAAAATCCACTTTTGGACCATTTGCCTTAAACCCTCTGTCGATAGGATTCCTGTTTTAAGTTAATTTTGTTGAACATCAATACAAAAAACTCTCCTATGACTCTTGGTTCAAAAGCTCGCCTATTTTCAAAATGGTCACCATTCTTGTCTCGCGAAATTCACTTTTGGCCCATTTCCTAGCTTTACAAATAATTTCAGCTGTCCTGCATTGTAAAAAGCCATGTCACTGTAAAGAGTAGTTGTATGAAATAATTTTGTTACAAAAAATCGGCAAAATATTATATCAGTTTTTTTATTTTCAGCCATTTTAGTTAACATTGATTCGTCCATCTGTCTCTTAGTCAGTCCAAAAAAGTGGCAAGTTTTAAACCTCTGTCAACACTTTTTAAATCCTCTGTAGATAGGATTCCCGATTTAAAATAATTTTGTTCAACATCAATAAAGAAAAAAAACCTGTGACTCCTGCTTCAAAATCTCGCCTAATTTCAAAATGGCCACCATTTTTGTCTTGGGAAATTCACTTTTGGCCCATTTCCTAGCTTTACAAATAAGTTCAGGTGTCCTGCTCCTGCATTGTAAAAAGCCATGTGTTTTTAAAGAGTAGTTGTATGAAATAATTTTGTCACAAAAAATCTGCAAAAAATTATACCCATCTTTTTTATTATTTTCACTTTTGAGCAACACCATGTGAGCCCAGTACCCACGGTATATATTACGCAAAAAAATTTTTTTATTTACATAAACTTTATATTAGAGCTTGAAAATGTAAAAATAATATATGTCAACATATTGCGTTTTGGAGCGATGTGCAGGTTTAATAGAGCACCTAGACTAAATTCCTTCGGATCGGAACAACAATCAATCAAAGTGTCTTACTACTCATTGTACAGTTAATAATGTTCTACCATAGAAATAAAGTATAAGATTTAACCAATCAAAATGAGATACAGACACTGTAATTACAATGTGCTGTTGTCTTTCTAAATTACTCAAAATCAGATTCCGTTGTCATTGACGATATCGAAGACGCTATATTGTGGCGTCATGACCCATTTGATCGAAAATGGGATTTCATATGATATATTATCACAAGGGCTATGCTAAGACACTTCACCCTGGTGGGAATCGAACCTACAAGAAATATACAAATCAAAAAACTCTGTTATTGTGTAAGTTTATTTTTTTAATGACAATTGTAGTCATTTTATATACATATTAATGAATATGACAGCTATAGTAACAACCATCTTAGCTTTATATCACCCTTGGTATACGCAGCTAACGAAAATTGACCGGTACGGGTCAAAAGCTGACGCGCGTTTGATTTTATAAAAAATGCCAAACTTTGTGACAAAGAATTTCATCAGCTATTGCCCCGAACCGGTCCATCTTCTCGCTGCAAGCAGATTGCCCCGAACCGGTCCGTCTTCTCGCTGCAAGCAGGATGAAATTCTTTGTCACAAAGTTTGGCATTTTTTATAAAATCAAACGCGCCTCATTAAAACTCACAAGATGTAAATAGCATGTCATTTACATCATACCTTGATGGGGAAAAATATATTTTATATGTTAGAAGTACTAAATAAAAGTTATCGTGAAAATGAGACAGTCGTTCTCGAGAGAAAAGAGCATAAATGCGCATTTAGAGAGTTTTGGTCCGTTTAAAAATCTGTAAAAAATTGGGGTACTTAAAAGCATCGGGAGGCATCATATATTTCAAATTAGACACAAAGTCAATATTGAGCAAGTTATGGCTATTTTAAATTCAAATAAATCCGTTAACCCGTACCGGTCCAGCTTTTGACCCGTACCGGTCAATTTTCGTTAGCTGCGTATACCAAGGGTGTATATACTCCCCTATTGTATGATCATAAGCATACCCTGCATGCCGAGTCTATTTATAAACTACCCTCTGCCTACTAGTATAGGCCATATTACAGTTTAGTAGCTGGCTTGAGTCATAAATCATTTCCAATTCTGACCAATTCTCATCCAGTCAGCAAGCTGGAAGGAATACATGCTAAATACGTGCACAATAATTAGGCGATTATGTCAGAGAAAATGACCATAATAGAAAGTCGTCCTTATTTTGACAACAAACTCTGATTAGCATGATGAGTTGAGAGATTTATTGAAAACTGATATAGTGAACACGAAGCTCTCTTTTGAAAAGCAAAGTTGCATGTATGACACAGACTTGGTACTGGCTTTGTTTACATTACCACTGAATATAACTGATCATTTCAGTCAAAATGGTGACCTTACCAGTTACCCTACAGAAATGGCAATAATGTTAGCTAGCAAAGCTAGTTGTGTGCATGATAAAAAGGCACTCATTCTCTAGGGAATAGATTTTACTTTCTACTTTCACTATATACAATTGTTGACCTCTCCAGAGGTCTCTCGGCAAAATTGTTTACCGAGACTGTAAACCGAGAAACTACTGTTGACAGAGACCGAAGGTCTAGGTCAACATTAGTTTCAAGGTTTACAGTCGAGGTATAGGATTTTGACCGTTGACCGAATGTAGAGGTCTACAATTGTTTTGTTAGTCCGAAGAAACTAATAATACATATATAGACGACAATCATCAATCAGAATGGCTTCATTTCACAATCTTTCCTCCGAACCATACCAGCAATATTTTTTTAGAAAATCTGAGGACAGTCGTAGCTAACTTCTCTGTTTTCGGCACATCACTGTGTACCCATTAATAAATTAATGTTAATGTTACGTTTCTATTTCTATTTTTGCTATACTTGTCAACTAGTAAAGTGAAAATATCACTTTCATCAACGTTTACAAAATGTCCGTCTATCATGTTTTTTCTGTAAACATTATGACGTCATGAAACTTTTTTTTCAAAAGTAGCGGTCAACAGTACATATTGTTGACCGCTAATGAACCAATCAGATTCGAGCATTTCAGTTGAGGTACTAACAATAACAATTGTAAAGCTGACGATAGAATGATCATAAAGCCTAAAATGTTGTAACCTATTTTGTAAACATTCCAAAATGTGAAAAAATAGTATGGCGTAACTCGCCATACATAAGTTCATAGGTTTCACTTGAGTGTTTGAAAGTGAGTTGACATATAAAGTACTTAATGAGTATGGGTAAATAGTTAATTAATTAAAGATATGAACATCTATTTCGATTGGAGGACAAAATGACATTGTTTCCTGTGGATCCCCACTTGTTATAATCATCATATGATGTTATTTACTTGTTTGTGTTGAATAATGCTTGCATTCTTATGAATTCCCAATGATTCAATACTATGTCTCCAAATTTTAGTTTGAAGCTTCACAATACTCATTCATAACAATTGTTTTACATATTCTAAAAATAATAATTACAATTCCAGGTTTACAACATCACCTCAGTCATCTATCATGGCCACTTACATCAACAGTGATCCGATAGAAAACCACTTTTGTCAAGTTCGTGCAACCCACAATGGGGCAAACACAAATCCAAATTACCAACAGTACAAATCTACACAAAACGCTATTATACTTGGCCAAAGCACTTTATCCAAAAAGAGGAACTCTGGAAAGCATGTTGTTAAGTCTAAGGCAGCAACTCCATATGCACGTCCACCACTGAAAACCTTGACTAATTCCCCAGTAAAGAATGTGGTAAGTACTATATTTTCATTAAACTCATAATACAGTATACAGGGTGTCTCCAAAAATATACCCAAAAGTATATCAATAGCACAGATTCACCAATCAATATTTTCTAACACATGATCATGTAGCTAAAACATGAAAGTTGTCTCCCCAATAGACTACTGTCTACATGTGATCACTCATTAAGTTTCAAGTAAATGTCTCCATTACTTTTGAAGTTAATGCTCATCTTATATTATTTGTATTGCAAGTAGTCTTTGCACATTCCTATGGTAACAGTGTACTTCATGTTTCTATTAGCAAAAATGGCATATAAATTCAATTCCTGGTTTAGATATCTCATCCCAGTCATGTTCATTGTCAATTTGTGAGCATTCTTTATGAACCCACTTATTGCAGCGGTCACACTGAATTCCTTCTTGCTCTGATGTGACACTTAGCAGGCACTCTGGGCATTGGTAGCGAACTTTTGGGCGTGGTAGTTGGTCCCTACTTGGTCCAGCATAGTTCGCATTTGACATACCTTGTCTTGAAGGAATTTCTTTCAGTAGTTTGTCCACAATTATTGACTTCTTCAGGTTTGATTTGAGGGGGATGTTATACATTTTTGCAAGATGAGTAGCTTCTAATTTTGTGAACTTACTTGGAATGGTTCCATACTCACTTATGTGGCGTTTTAATTCATTGTGTGAATTACATTTTGACACACTCTGATCATTAGATATTGTAGTCCATGAAATTTCAGAATTTTTAGCTTTTTTCTGCAAGACTTTTTTTCTGTGTGCCTGTGTTTTTTTGGTTTCATGAAAATTTATGAAGTCTTTCCTTAATTGTTTTGTGAGCACTCGAACAAAAAGATTTATGATTTCTACATACAAGTCATTTTGAATTTGGATTCTATCACAGTCATTTGGTAACTCAGAAGGATATTGTGAATCAAATCCTTCTTCATATGTTACTTTAAGTTGGTCATTTTGGATCAGTGAGTTGGCTATTGTATTACCAATGTTTGTTTGTATAGGAATTTCTTTTTGCTTGGAAAGTGTTTCTTCGGTTAATAGAGTAAAAAATTTAGAAGTTTTGTCTGAAATGTGGTTAAGTTTGCCTTGCGCATATTGCTTGCCTATTGTTAGTGCAATACTATCTGCATCTTCAGTCTCTGAAATTATTTGGGTTTCTGTCCTGCACAGTTCATTCACAATCTGGACTGATGCATTCTCAACATGCCGTCTTTTCATGTCCCTTTTCCCATACTTGCCGAGTAGGTTGTCTGCATTTCTTTGATGCTGATACTTTATTTTGGCAAGCACGTAGCTGCCAACATACCGCACTTTACCTCGGGAAGAGGTACACTGTTGTGAAACTGTGGTACTTCTTTGAACTGAAACATAGGATGTAAAACAAATTAATATAGCGTCATCTTAAAAAAAGGTAACCCAAACAAATGTCCGTGCCTGGGTGATAACTCAAACACCTATGGATGGATTTGGTTCAAATTTTATAGGCTTATGCCCTATAGGTTATTGTACTATACCATGGCACTTTGCCCTGAGTGTCTCTGTTGCATATTAATATATATCAATTTTTCATATGAACTATACTGTTGCACTTCATCCTGTGTGTCTCTGATGCATGTATATGTTAATTTATTGAACTATACTGTTGCACTTTGCCCTGAGTGTCTCTGTTGCACATTCATATATTTCAATTTATTTTATGAAGTACCTCTAGTCAGATCTAAGAATGTCACTATACAATAAGTGCTAAAGGTATTAGACTACCACTACAGGGATATTAGCAGTACAGGAATAAGGCATGCAGAAAGCAAAGGATGCAATGAGGAGATAGCAGTGTAATCATTCAGTCTAGTGTTTATTATGGTGCAATTAGCTAGAAGGCAATGACAGCTTGGTAGGAAGAGTTCACATGCACACTAGTATAAGGTCTCCAGGATCACCTGGAAGCATAGAAAAGAGGTATATTACGCTTGTGGTTGATCATTGTTCCTCATTCACTTTGAAACAAGTGTTTCTATTAATTACATTACCTTTAAAATTAGGTTGTTCAAGCACAACATCTCCTGCAAGCTTGTGAATAAGGCTTTCTCGAATTTCTTCATTAACCCGATGCAAGCCATTCATTTCAGCATCCATGGGTTCTCTCCCCAACAACAATATTATGTTTCTTTTGTAGTCTTCTGATGTATGGTATTTCATTAATTGTTTGTATACATTTTTCTTGTCTTTGCTCACTATTGTGTCTTTTTGTAAGGATTTTATGAGGTGAGACTGATGGCGAATTTCTTTAGATATGTATTCTTCAAATTTGTCCTCATCTTTCATTTTATCTAAAAAGGTGTTGACTTGTTTTGTCATGGATGTGTGGTCTTCAGAGTACTTTGCTTTCTCGACTATTGTTCTTATTTCAATCCAATCTGAAAAATCATATCAATCCTAAATATTTCATAAGTACGTATTCATTAATTTAACAAAATGGCTCTTCATTATATTTTCTATTTAAATTAGCTCACATGGTTATTAGACTCCAGATTGAAAATCTGGAGTCTATTGATTTTGCCAGTTTTCTTATTATTCTTTCAGAATCTTCCTCCTTACAAGATTTCTCACCAACTAGAAGAGCTTACTTTAAGCTGCTTACATGATCAACTAGGGAATGTATCTGGGATGATGAGAAATTAGGTCAAATTTTTATCTAGGTCAAAGGTCAATAACTAGGTCAAATTTAGGTCAAAGCAACATTCTGTCAATTATCTTCGTTGTTGTTTGTCGGTACTCCTTCATCTTTTTTTCATCATGTAGCTTAGAAAAAAACAAATCGAGAATCTGCCAACCATTTTTTTATTACTCTTACCGATTTTGAGATATGGCGTCCGGAAAGTAGGTTAAACTAAAAAGTTAACCAAATCTAACATATGAGCTATGAAATAACTGTACAGTTTTCTCAGGAATCTGAATCTGCAAACCAAATTCAGATCCGACTTCGGGTTCGAAAGTTATGGCGTTTTGAAAATTTCGAGAAAAATCGATCTGATGATATCCTGATAGAAAGTCAAGAGTAGCAAAGAAAATATAGAAAAAATCATCCATCCTTCCTTCCTATCCTGTCTGATCATATCCTTCCTATCTATCCTTCCTTTCTATCCTTTCCTTCCTATCATATCCTTCCCTCCTATTCTATATTCTATCCTATCCTAGAACTGGGTCAAATCTTACATTTTCAATATTTTATCAACTATCTTCGTCGTTATTTATCGAAACATCTTCATCTTTTTTTCATCATGTAGCTTATAAACAGCCCTTTTATAGTGTGCCATCCGTTTTTTGATTACTCTTAATGATTTTTAAATATGGCATCTGGAAAGTAGGTCAAAACAAAAAGTTCTCCAAATTCAATGTATGAATTATGAATTAGGGGTAGACTTTTGTCAGGAATCTGAATCTGCAAACAAAATTTCGATCCGACTTCCCGTCTGGAAGTTATGGCGTTTTGAAAGCTCAAAAATCGCTAAATTTGGTGCCTCATGTTAAGTCAATGGGAAAAAAGACTTTTTTGAATTGTAAAATATGACATATAGACTGAGTGCAGCTTAACATAATGAATTCCAATAAAAGAAGGGTACCTCAAAAGCTACTTAGCTTCAAAATTTGGACACCAAAATCTTAAGGTCAAAATCTAGGTCAAATTCATAGTTTTTCCTAATTTTTCCTAATTTTTACGATTCTGACACTACACTTAAATGATTTGTTTCAAAATTTTGTATACAGGTAGCAAAGAGTGTGCTTATAGTGTTAGCCTTTTGCCGTCAGAAAGTATTTTGAGCCACTTTTGAGATATGGTGTCCGAAAAGTAGGTCAAAATAAAAAGTTCTCCAAATTTAAATGATGAGTTATGAATTAAGGGTAGAATTTTCTCAGGAATCCAAATCTGCAAATCAACTTTCAATCCAACTCCCGGTTCAGATTCTACGCCATTTTCAAATTCACATTTTTCAGTATCCATAATGCAGATCCATCAAATATAGTTTCAAAAATTCCTACTTACCTACTCGGCTACATACCTACTCGGCTACCTACTTAGCTACCTACTTCTCAGCTACCTACTCAGCTACTTGCTCAGCTACGTACTCAGCTACCTACTCAGCTGCTTACTCAGCTACTTACTCAATTACTTAATCGTCTACTTACTCAGCTTCCTACTCAGTTACTTACTCAGCTCTTTACTCAAGTAAATCAATCTGGAGTCTTAAATTGAAGTTTGTTCAATTTACCAATCTAGTTACCTATTGCAATCACTCACTTGTCCGTCTGTCTGTCCGTCTGCCCATCTGTCTGTCTTTCAACAATTGGCCCATTTTAAAACCTCTGTCAATAGGATTCCCGTTTTAAGTTATTTTTGTTCAACATCAAAACAGCAAAACCCTTCTTTGACTCCTGTTTCAAAAGCTCGCATAATTTCAAAATGGCCACCATTTTTGTCTCGCAAGATTCACTTTTGGCCCATTTGCTTTAAAACCTCTGTCGATAGGATTCCCATTTTAAGTTATTATTGTTCAACATCAATACAGAAAACTCCCCTATGCCTCCTGGTTCAAAAGCTCGCCTATTTTGTCTCCATAATTCACTTTTGGCCCAATTTTCTGGCTATATACAAATAATTTCAGGTGTCCTGCATTGTAAAAAGCCATGTCATTGTAAAGAGTATTTGTATGAAATAATTTTGTTGCTAAAACTTATATCCGTTTTTTTTATTTTCAACCATTTTAGTTAACATTGATTTGTCCAGCTATTAATGAATGTGGTTACAGTGTCACATGATAAGCATAACATGTAATATTCATTTTCCTAATGGCAAAGACTACTAAAGTGCCATTCGTTTACATTACTACAAAAAATACACTTTAAAGAGAAATATTGCCTTCTTTTTACAGGATAAACTTGATTAGATAATGATAATTTTAGTGACAATTTATGATGACATACACTGTATATACGTACCCTCGTATATAGCCTCCAATACTGACTCATCTAGGTATGGTACTGTATCCTCATCATGTAGTTCTGAGGGAAGGGCACCACTTGAGGTTGAAGGTTGTGAATGTGAGGCACTGTCTTGTGATGAATGTATGTCACTCTGTGTGGCTGCGGGTGGGACACTGTATGAGGATGGATGGATGTCACTGTGTGTGGCTGTGGGCGGGACACTGTATGAGGATGGATGGATGTCACTCTGTGTGGCTGTGGGTGAGACACTGTATGAGGATGGATGGATGTCACTGTGTGTGGCTGTGGGTGGGACACTGTGTGAGGATGGATGGATGTCACTCTGTGTGGCTGTGGGTGGGACACTGTGTGAGGATGGATGGATGTCACTGTGTGTGGCTGTGGGTGGGACACTGTGTGAGGATGGATGGATGTCACTCTGTGTGGCTGTGGGTGGGACACTGTATGAGGATGGATGGATGTCACTCTGTGTGGCTGTGGGTGAGACACTGTATGAGGATGGATGGATGTCACTCTGTGTGGCTGTGGGTGGGACACTGTGTGAGGATGGATGTATGTCACTGTGTGTGGCTGCAAGTGTAGCACTGTGTGGGAGAGGAGGCAGGGTACTATGGGGTGTTGTAGGTGGGTCACTGGGTGGGGGATGAGCAAAGCTACTGTGTGATGTTGTTGCAGTCTGCCATTTTTTTCCAGTGCAGCATGTTAAGTCTCGTTTCAATGTGTCTTCAACATTCTGTTCTTTCACTGTTCTTATGAAATTTAGAACGTGCATTGGCTGACGGACAATGCAGTTTGGTCGAAAGTTAACCAATTTCACATCTTCCTTCCTCCTTACCCGACCTATGGCAACCCCTAGTTGTCCTGGCATGTTAACATTGTCACAGTGAACCACCACTTTAGGGAGGGTTGAAGCTTGGGTTTTGTGACAAGTAACAGCATAGTTGACTTTCAGTGGAACCTGTTGTCTCGTAAACACATCTGTGTTTAGAGCTGGATCATACACTGAAAGTAATTAGGTGAAAAACAGCTCAAGTTTGTAAGGGTTAAGGGTTTTACATTGTATAACATAAACTTTTGTGAGGCATATTCTTATTTATTCCATAGTTAGCATGATATTCATAGGATAACATGTGAAAATAAAAACGGTATTTTTGTAATCAGTGGTAAAATATGATATTTTTATCCCACCGAACGAAGTTCGAGAGGGATATAGGAAAGCCATCCGTCCGTTCGTCCGTCTGTCCGTCCGTCTGTCTGTTTGTCCAGGCGATAACTGAAATACCGTTTCACGGATTTGATTCAAATTTTATAGGCTTATGCCTTATGGGTGTAGGACCTCTGCTCGAGAAGGAATTTTCAATATGGCCACTGAATTCAAAATAGCCGCCATTTTTCGTAAAAATGTAATCTTTAATAACTCAAATACTAGTTTGCGGATTTGGTCCAAATTTTATATGCTGATGCCTAGGGACACAGTAGATATGTTCAAGTAAAAATTTTCTAGATGGCGGCTAGATTTCAAAATGGCGGCCATTTTTCGTAAAAAAACTTAATCTTTGATAACTCAAATACCAGTCAACGGATTTGGTTCAAATTGTATATGATGATGCCAAGGGACACAGTAGATCTGTTCGAGTTACAATTTTCAAGATGGCCACTGAATTTCAAAATGGCGGCCATTTTTGGTAAAAAAACGTAATCTCTGGTAACTCAAATACCAGTGAACGGATTTGGTTCAAATTTTATATGATGATGCCTAGGGACAAAGGAGCTTCGCTCAAGATGGGATTTTCGAAATGGCCACTGAATTTCAAAATGGCAGCCATTTTTCATAAAAAAACGTAATCTTTGATAACTGAAATACCAGTGAATGGATTTGCCTCAAATTTTATATGATAATGCCTAGGGACACAATAGATCTATTCAAGAAAGAATTTTCAAGATGGCGGCTTGATATTAAAAATGGCGGCCATTTTTCGTAAAAAAGGTAATCTTTGATAACTCAAATACCAGTGAATGGATTCGGCTCAAATTTTATATGATGATGCCTAGGGACAAAGGAGATCTGTTCGAGAAAGAATTTTTAAGATGGCGGCAGAATTTCAAAATGTACGCCATTTTTCGTAAAAAACGTAATGTTTGATAACTCAAATACCAGTGAACAGATTTGGCTCATTTTTTATATGATGATTCCTAGGGACACAGTAGATCTGTTCGAGAAAACTTTTTCAAGATGGGGGCTGATCTTCAGAATGGCTGCCATTTTTATCGTACCTAACAAAAGGTACGATATTGTAGTCAGCTTGACGGGCGGCGTCTCACTTTTCAGCTTGTCTACAGGTTTCCAGCCAAACCATTTGAGGGATTCATCTGAAATTTTCAGGGATGTTTCTACATATCAACGTCAAGAACTGATTAGTTTTTGGGCATTCTGGGTAAATCTTAAGGTGGCCATTTTGGATTTTCCGTCCTAAAATCTTCACTTTCAAGACTTGTCTACAGGTTTCCAGCCAAACCGTTCACATTTTTTTACATATGTTACACAGTGATAAGTTCTAGACCTCATTAACTTTTCTGCGGCCATCTTGCTTTCTTGGTCAACAAGACCACAATGCTGTGTTTTAGGTACGATATTGTTCACGTCTGTGCCTTGTTCATTTTCATTTTCGTAATCTTTGGTAACTCAACTGCCGTTCGGTGGGATTTGCTACTCCGTGGAGTTGCTGTTTTTCTAGTTGGATATGATAAGCTACGCTTGCTCGTGCACATATCATATCCATTCATGGATAAAAATCATATCACTCATAAATCATAGGATATCCTCTATGAAACCCATTTAAAAGATTTGCATATATTGGATTTGGGAGTATTACATTTCACAGTAATGGGTTTCAGAGTGATGATTTCAGAGTCATGGGTTTCATCAGAGTATTGATTTGGTACTAATACATTTCAGAGAAATGCCTTTGGAGTATTCATTTCACAGCAATGGGAGTATTACATGTCAGAGTAATGGCTTTCAGATTAATGGGCTTCCCAGTATTGGGTTTTGGAGTATTACATTACAGAGTATTGGGTTTTAGAGTGTTGATTTCAGAGTAATGGGTTTTGGAGTAATGTGTTTTGGAGTCGTAGTGTGTCCCCATTTACATCAGTACATAATGTTTTATGTTATGCAATACCTGAAAACATTATGGGTTCAAGAACCTCATCTTTGTTGCTGCCTTTAAAGCGAACAACTGGCTTGTCATCTGGTGATACAATGTACCCACTTCGACCATTCACCAGTCCCTTTGCCACATTGATATTACTTATCAGCATAACTGGAGTGTTTTGTTTTATGTCAAGGGACTTCAATGCTTGAATTTTTTTAGCATAGTGGATATCTCCGCTGTCTACACCATTGTACCGTTTAACTTGTCCAGGTAACTGAAAATATCAAAGTGAAAAGTAAAGAGGGGAGAAGTAATGATATTGATATTTTACAGGAAAATGTGTATGGAACAAAGGTCGTATGAGAACAAAGTTGATCAAAGAAGAATTAGTTCTTTCATAATGTTCAGATATTATTATCCCATCAAACGAAGTTCGGAGGGATATAGGGAACGCCTCCATCCGTCTGTCTGTCCGTACATCCGTCCGTCCATCTGTCCGTCCGTCTGTCCAGGCAATAACTCAAATACCGTTGGCCCAATTTTGTTTATATTTTGTACACATATACCCTATGGGGGTAGAAGTTCTGCTCCAAAGCCGATTTTCAAAATGGCCGCTCATTTTAAAATGGCGGCCATTTTAGTGCCGATTTTACAGTAATTTAGGTGCAATATGTAAAACTGTAATAGCAATATGTTTTACATGTAAAAAAATTATGAAGGACATAATGATACAAATGTAGATATTAAAGAAGCACATGGCAGCCATCTTGAAAAATGGCGGCCTTTACTCGTCATTTTACGATTTTTGCCGTAACTCAAAAAATAGTGGAGCGATTTTGTTCATATTTGGTATGTGAATACTATAAGCATTGCACACTGTCTAAAGACACTTTTGGTAGAAGGCGGCAATATTTCAAAATGACGGCCATTTAAACGTATTTTACTCAAAAAGTAGTGGAGCGATATTGTTCATATTTGGTATGTGAATACTATAAGCATGGCACACTGTCCTATGACATTTTTGGTAGAAGGCGGCCATTTTGAAAAAAAATGTGAAAAAATTGGCCCCATTTTAACGTATTTTACTATTACTCGAAAAGTAGTGGAGCGATTTTGTTCATATTTAGTATGTGAATACTATAAGCATGGCACACTGTCCTATGACATTTTTGGTAGAAGGCGGCCATTTTGAAAAAAAATTTGAAAAAATTGGCCCCATTTTAACGTATTTTACTATTACTCGAAAAGTAGTGGAGCGATTTTGTTCATATTTGGTATGTGAATACTATAAGCATGGCACACTGTCCTATGACACTTTTGGTGTTTTGTTCATATTTGGTATGTGAATACTATAACCATGGCATACTGTCTATTTCTAATGACACATTTGGTAGAAGGTGGCTATTTTGAAAAATGGCCGCCATTTAATGCATTTGACTATAACTCGAAAAGTAGTGGAGCGATTTTGTTCATATTTGATACGTGAATACTTTAAGCATGGCACATTGTCTAATAAAACTTTGGGGAGTAGTCGGCCATTTTGAAAAATGGCCACCATTTTTATGTGTGTTATTTTACAAGTATGTGTGCGATTTTTCAAAAATTTTAGAGGTGGCTACTTAAAAGCATATTATTTCTACTGATGACAACTTGGCTAGTGAGCAACCATTTTGAAAATGGTGGCCTTTCTGGTGTGTTGTTTTATGATATTTGCTATTCGTTTGTAAAAATGCCAGCCATTTCTGTTCGATGGGATTCGCTACGCTTTGGCGTTGCCATTGTTCTGGTTATTAACTTTTAAGACTATGTGTATGTTATTATTTCAGGCGCATCAACCACAGGGAGAGGCCAACACAGTCACTTCAAAGTAACATTGCCTACCTCAGCAAGACGATCGTTGTTGTAATTCTCACATTCTCGGTTCGTACCAAAGATATGAACTGCTTGATGTTCATCTTCAATATCTCTGGACAATCCTCTAAGATAGGAAATTACTTCATGGGATTGTTCACCAGCAGCAACTCGGTTAATAATCTGCATAGAATAAGTGTAACAAAATATCAGCAACTGTTAAGTGGAGTTCAGAAAGATAAGGTGAAACAGAATAGAATATTGTTATCCCAATGAACTAAGTTCATTAGGGATATAGTGAAGGCCTCCGTCTGTCTATCCATCTGACTGTCTGTCTATGCAGAAGATTACATAATACTAGTTGATCTCTCAGAATAAAAGCTTTATTTTGCTGAAATGAAAGGCAATTTACATTTAGAGTTGATTGCAAGTATTGTATCATTTTCAGATTCATGTCTCATAAAATTCAAAATGGCTGCCTAAAGTAGTATTTTGCAATAATTTTCTGATCCCTCCAAAGTTTGGCTACATTGTACTTAAATTGAAAGAATTTTAGATATATAGTATGTCTTTTAATATCTGCCAATTTATTCAAGGGTAGAGTAGATGGAAAATATAACATTGTGACATTCTTGAAAAGGGTGTTCCTTGGGATTTGCTACTCCGTGGAGTTGTCAATTTATAGTTGTTACTTAAATCCATAATTTATGGAACTGCATATGTATCAATGCTTATGACATGATGCTTATGGAATATTGTAATAGATACCTGCAGTGTGTATATATTTACTATTAATATGTAATGATATGTAATGTGCGTTGGGGCAATAACTCAAATATCATTGGCCCATTGTATATGCCTCATGTGACTACTAGTGTATGTAGTCAATAAAGGTCTATGTGCAGTATGGCAAATGATTTTAGAAAGTCATATCTTTAACTAATAATAATTTCCGGGCATACATACAGTGGTTATTATCAAAACAACATGTTTTCTTTCAAGTAAAGTACCCATTATGATAAAAAAATATCAAGCGAACAATTCTTAAAACTATGAATAAAACTGTTGAATCTTTTTCTGGTTTATATTGCATGAAAAGAAGATTCATCAATGTGTCTAAAACTTCTTCAAATGTAGAATGGTATTGAAATGTTATTTTTGAAGATTCCAATTTTCGATGACCAAAGTTAGGCTGAAAACAATGGATAGCACGAGTTTTCTCTATGGGAAAATAACATGGGATATGTGTTTTTTAACTTCAACGCATTTCAATATGCATCACCTTTTCAGAAAATGTTCATATAGTGTAGAAGAAACTCGATATGTTTAAATTGAGAAGAATAAGATCTGATTTTTAGTAAATTAGCCTGACATTTTCAAAAAATGCCAAGGTGGGGTCCTAATCCATAATTTTTCAGATTGTTCGATTGATATTTTACTATCATGGGTACTTGACCTAAAAGAAAGCATATTGTTTTCATTAAAACCACTGTATTGATGGCCAGAAAGTACCCTATGTGAAAGATGTGACTGCACATGGACATATCTTTTATTGATTTTAATTATCCCATCGAACGAAGTTCGGAGGGATATAGGGAACGCCTCCGTCCGTCCGTCCGTACATCCGTCCGGGCAATAACTCAAATACCGCTGGCCCGATTTTGTTCATATTTTGTACACATATACCCTATGGGGGTAGAAGTTCTGCTCCAAAGCCGATTTTCAAAATGGCTGCTCATTTCAAAATGGCGGCCATTTTAGTGCGGATTTTACAGTAATTTAGGTGCAATATGTAAAACTGTAATAGCAATATATTTTAATTGTAAAAACATTATAAAGGACATTAATAATGCTACAAATGTAGATATTAAAGAAGCACATGGCAGCCATCTTGAAAAATGGTGGCCTTTACTCGTCATTTTACGATTTTTGCTGTAAGTTAAAAAATAGTGGAGCGATTTTCTTCATATTTGGTATGTGAATACTATAAGCATTGCACACTGTCTAAAGAAACTTTTGGTAGAAGGAGGCCATTTTTAAAAATGGCCGCCATTTGAACATATTTTACTGTAACTGGAAAAGTAGTGGAGCGATTTTGTTCATATTTGGTATGTGAATGCTATAAGCATGGCACACTGTCCTATGACATTTTTGGTAGAAGGCGGCCATTTTGAAAAAAAATTTGAAAAATGGCCGCTATTTTAACGTATTTTACTATAACTCGAAAAGTAGTGGAGCGATTTTGTTCATATTTGGTATGTGAATACTATAAGCATGGCACACTGTCCTATGACGCTTTTGGTAGAAGGCGGCCATTTTGAAAAAAATTTGAAAAATGGCCGCCATTTTAACATACTATAACTCGAAAAGTAGTAGAGCAATTTTGTTCGTATTTGGTATGTGAATACTATAAGCATGGCACACTGTCTATTTCTAATGACACTTTTGGTAGAAGGTGGCCATTTTGAAAAATGGCTGCAATTTTAACGTATTTACTATAACTCGAAAAGTAGTGGAGCAATTTTGTTCATATTTGATATGTGAATACTTTAAGCATGGCACATTGTCTATGGGGAGTAGTCGACCATTTTGAAAAATGGTCACCATTTTTATGTGTGTTATTTTACAAGTTCGTATGCGATTTTTCAAAAATTTTAGAGGTGGCTACTTAAAAGCATATAATTTCTTCTGATGACAACTTGGCTAGTGAGCAACCATTTTGAAAATGATGGCCTTTCTGGTGTGTTGTTTTATGATATTTGCTATTCGTTTGTAAAAATTCCAGCCATTTCTGTTCGATGGGATTCGCTACGCTTTGGCGTTGCCGTTCTTCTTGTTAATCCTGTACAATTTTGTTAAAATAATTACTTCTGCAAACTCAGCATCTTTTTGTCGCATAACTTGTGTCAACACTAATGTATGAGCAAACATTTCCTTGAAGGTCTCACTTGTGAAGCAATGCTCGCCCTTGTCACCATATAATGCATTTGGCACAGGAGATAGTTGTAGAAAATCACCTGAAACATACAATTGGCATCATGTTAAGTCATTTGGAATATGCTATAGCTCAATAAGATGGTAGACTGGAAATATGTTGTGTATTTTATTTAAATATATTGTTTTCATTTCCTTATGTGAAGCCCTCATACATTACAAAGGATTTATAACGCATGAAACAGTGAAATGTATGTAAAGCATTTAATACCTGCA